TGTGGGATGCAGAACTGGAAACCCGGCCCTTGTCCTTCAGTTGATTATCTAGCCAGACAGATGAGCAAGTGTTCAGTGCAGTCCCTGGGCTGTCACGGAGGACGCGATGTTCTATCTGTGTTACGGGAGCTGGGAAGCAGGCTTCGGGAGCTGGTATGTATTAGTGTTGAGGGAGCATTTTTTTTCCTAAGGAAATGATGTGAACAAATGCTTGGAGCCCTGGAGATTTCCAGTTGGGGTATCACTAGATATAACTTACTATGACTAGTGAGAACCATGATGAGAAAGTGAAGGATCGTTAGCTCGGCCCAGCAGCCCCAGCGGCCGACCTAGAGTAAATTGCATCTCAAAGGGTCACGTATGTCTGCTCGAGATTCCAGCCTCCTTTGTCCTTCTGGAGAGCCACAGCCAGGACAGACTTCTGTGATGGGAGATGTCATTCTGTATATGTTTCTCATACTGGTTAATAATAAAGCATTGTTGGCCAATAGGAAAGCAAGATAGGAGGGACTAGGAGACAAGGAGGAAGAGGAAGTAGGAAGGAGGGAAAAAGATGGAGAGTCTGGAGAGAGCAGTATGCGGCAGCTGGCTCCCGGTAAAAAGACCACATGGAAATACATAGATTAACACAAATGGGTTAATACTTAAGACAGAGCTAGCCGATAAGAAAGTAGTACCTGGCCAACAGTATAATATCTAATACAGGGTCTCGGTGTGTTATTTGGGGCTGGCGCGGCGGCGGGACAAGACTGGCGGTGGGAGGAAAAACCCATACTCCTTACACTTCTGTTTTAGGAAGAAAGCGCTAGGGAGCAGATTGGAAAAGGTGGTGTTGGTTCCTTTGTTCGTTCGTTCATCCGTTCATTCATTCGTTCATTCATTCATTCATTCATCCATTCATTCATTCAATAAGCATGTATTGTGTGTGTACTTTGTGAAAGTAACTATTTTAGCTCAAAGATAGCAACCCCAGTGGAGCTTGCCATCAAACAAATGAGACATATAATTTGCCAGTAGGCGTAAGAAGTGAGTTGATTGGTGGCATGCTAGGAGCAAGTGAATGCTAAGAAGGAAGAAGTGCAGGTGGGCAGATGGCAGCAGGCAAAGTTCAGAAACGATGCACTCATTCATGGAAAAGATGAGGCCCGGGGCTGTGGCCGTAAGAGCAGTTATTCTCACGGAAGATCTGCATTTGGTTCCCAGTGCTCACCACTGTCTGTGACTCCAGTTCCGGAGGACCTGACACCTCTCCTTGTGTAAATTAAAAAAAAAAAAAAAAAAAAAAAAAAGGACTAGACTAAAGGTGAGACTCTAGAGTGGAGAAAGGGGGTGTTCTGGAAGGTTTTGGAAGACATGTTTCTTTTCTTTCATTTTTTGAAGCTTTTTCATACAAACAAATGGCAAGTCATTAATGCATTGTTTCAAGGTGAATGACTTTGTAACACCTACCGTGTAAGCGGGTAAGACAGTCACAGCTGGACCACTCACTTGCCGCCTTAGAGCTGCAGAGCAGCCCCTCCCTGGGCACCTGCTGTCCCTGGTGATCAGTTTCCTGCATGTGTATCTCTCTCCTAGTATAGCTTAGTCCTGCCAACTTAAAAGACAAATGCCTCCTGGTCTTTTTAATATAGGTTTGTTTATTTATCTGCGTGGCACACATATGTGTATACATAGTCACACGTGCTTATGCTCGTGTGTGTGTGCTTGGGTGCATGTACATGTGTTTGCATGGATGCAGACATCTGAGGTTGAAGCCAGGTGTCTCCCACTGTCATTCTTCACTTTATATACCGAAGCAGGGTCCCTCTCGTGAACCAAGCTCTTGCTAACTTGACTACTCTAGTGAGCTGGTTTACTCTGGGATCTCTCAAGTCCTGGACATGGGAGCGGCCACCGTATGTGCCCAGCATGTGTGTGCGTGCTGGGGCTCCCCTGTCTGGCCCTCATACTCTCACCGCAAGCACTCTGTTCACTAAATCTTCTTTCCAGCCTCTTTCCCTTTCTTCTAAAGAATGCTGCCTCAGCTAAAGGCTGGACTGTTTATCTTAGCATTCCTTATAGGCTGGCCTATACTGCCTGAACTCATAGTGCAGCTCACCATGCGTGCATGTTTCCTCTCTTCCTTCCTCCTCCCTCCCTCCCTCCTTCCCTCCCTCCCTCCCTCCCTCCTTCTCTTCCTCCTTCCTGCCTCCCTCCCTCCCTCCCTCCCTCCCTCCTCCCTCTCTCTCTCAGAATGTATTTGGTCCTAAGAATTGCTGCTCAAGAACAATGAATAGCCTTTTATCAAAAGTCTGTGGGCGGTGAGTCAGTCTCCATCTTGCATAGAGTCCGTGGGTAGCACTAGAGGCTTCTGCAGAAGTCCCCCAGCAAGGCCAGGTAAGGACGCAGAGGAAGGGTGAGTCGTCTGCACTTCCTGGGGTACAGGTCCAAGTCTCTTGCTTCAGGGCCCTCCTCAAGTTCTCAGTATGTCACAGGAGCCCGGGTCAGTGACGGGAGTGAGCACCGGTAAAGAGGCAGAGGCTTCTTCATGGATCTTGCCCTCCCTTCCCGACTGCAGAGTAGCCCCGGGGTTCATGGCTCTGAGCAGGCCGGAACCTGGCAGAATCCTGCCATGGGTAGTTCTCCTTGTCTGGCTCCTTCCTGTCTGGTCCTCTCTGCATCTGGGCTGGTGGATCACAAGTGCATTGGCTGGCAGAGTGGCCTCAGTTTGCTTGAGGCTCAGCATGGGTTTCGGGCGCTTGTTTTCCTGCTGCACGTTCTTCTCTGAGGAGATTTCTGTGGTCGCTGCACTCTCCATCAGTCTGCGTGGCTCTGCAGCATCCACACAAGACCCTCAGCTGTGCTTTCCCAGCGCGAGCCTTGCTCACTGTGCCTCCTGGCCTATTACCACTGTGCCCTCTGCTATCAGTCTCCTGGACGTGGAAGAGCAGTTAGGCAGGCTCACTCAGGACAGAAGCCACATGGCCCCGGGGACCTTAGAATCATCCATCTTGTGCCACTTCCCGTTGCCAGGAGTAACAGAAATAATGTCCGCAGACCAGCAGCGGAGCTTGTATGTTTCCTTAATTGGCAGCTGGATGCCAGGCTTCATGAGACTCAGATGCCATGCTCTGGGCACGGCTGTTGGTAGTAGTGTTCTTTCAGTGGGCAGCCCATACTGTCTGGGTGTCTTCCGTGGAGTTAATAGCTGCATCTGCTAGATGTCTAGAGTCAGACATTGACTGGGGTTGCAAAGTGACATTCTAGTGATCTGTTTTAGTTATTAGCTGCAACACTGTAGCATTTATGTGTTTAAGTGTTTTGCTGAAATGTATATTCATGCACTATATATATACCCTGTGTCTGTGGAGGCTAAAGAGCATTGGAACCCCTCCAACTGGAGTTATGGGCAGTTGTGAGCTGCCATGTGGGTGCTGGCAACTGAAGTCAGGCCCTTTGTAAGAGCAGGAAGTGTTGTTAGCTGCCATGCTGTCTGTCCAGCTGGTAAGCTGCAATGCTCACTAACTAACATTTCCCTTTTACTGTTCCGTTTCTCAGGTGCACCGTTCTTATAGAAAGACAGGATAAACGTGCTTTCTTTTACTTACCAGTTCTCAAAGGTAGTGAGTTATTCCCCTGTCAGCCAGTTTGATTACTCCATCCATGTTTTCTCTCTGGTGTTATCATTAGGAAAGGGCCTTGATTGACTGCTCTAGCTTCTTGCCAGCTCACACTGGAGCAGACTGGCCCCTCCCTGCAGGCTTTAGTCCTGCTCCACAATTGGCTCATTACATGTTCCAGAGCATGTTTGTTGCCCAGTTGGGGGTTCTGTATTTCCCCCTACACAGGTCTCCTGGCTGTTAAGTGGTCACAGCCAATTGTACTTTGGGTTTATGATAGATATCACCTAGTTTTTCTATAAATGTTTTCCATGGAACTTTGGTTTTGTTATTAGTTGGTCTGTTTTTTTTTTTTTTTTTTTTTTTTTTTTGATGATAAACAAGATTTTAAAAAAAAGCTTCAGGCAGGGAGATGACTCATCAGGTAAGAGTGTACACTGGGCTTTAGAGGACCCAAGTTTGATCCCGGCATCCATGCTGGGCAGCCCACAACTTCCTGTAATTCCAGCTCCAGGGAGAGCCAATGCCTGTGTCTTCACAGGCCCCTGCCCTTGTGTACACACACTCCAGACAAAAGCATACATCCGTATAATCACAAATAATGAAAGTAAATCTTACAAGGTGTTCACAGCCGCCAGCCTCCTCTTTCCAGGAGGACGCTGGGCCATGGAGGAGTTCAAATGCAGTTGAGAATTTAAGTAAATTTGACGTTTTTGACCTGGGAGACCAGGTGGTGGCAGTGTCCCCGAAGAAGACTTAAAGTTTGAGGGAAGGAGCAAGGCACACAAGGAATGAGAACAAGCTTTGTCTGAGTGGGTTTGCCGTGAGCATAAAATACCATGGCGTAACAGCAATGTCTTGTTAAGGACTGTGCTGCTAGCCTTTCCCAGACAGAGAGCTGTGTCGTGAAACCCCAACACCTAGAGGGTGAATAATTCCACCACAAGTAGAAAAAAAATACATTATCTATGGTCGACACTGCAGCATGGAACACAAAGCATCCATCTGAGGTGAAAGAGACCTTAGTAACAGCATGCATAAATTAAGGGTTTTATGCTTCTTTCATAATCAGGCACAACTTGTGTGCATTGAGCAGCAAAGCAAACTGCATGCTAGGGGTGTACCCTCGATTTGGGGTGTAATCTGAGAATAGATTGCTAAAGTCTGAGCACATTTCTACTTGGGATTTAGACGTGCTAAGTGCTTGTAAGCTGCACACCTTCGTGCTCTGTGTAGACTGCATGCTGTCATGGCACTGGTGAGGCCTTCTCCATGGTGAGCCAGTCAGATGGGTGGAAGCTAAGATAACCTCCAGATGTTTCCTTCTGCGCATGTGTTAGCATTGCATATGAGCTCATAACTACTTCTGTTTTCTCTTTGCCTTCTTTTCCAAAACTCTAGGCCTGCCTTCAGAGACCCGAGATCAGACTTGAGTCACTCAAAGAAGATATTAAGGCATTCTTTAAAATATCAGGTTTGTAAAGATCTCCTATCTTTACGCATCCTCAGACTTTCGGCTTTCTCCTCAAAACTGGTATACCGTGACTGAGGGGCTTGTCTCTGGAGATTATTAGACTTCACACATTCTAATGAAATTGGGCAAACACTCAAGGACACCATAAAAACGACTGCTTTGCAATAATCAGTTGCTTTCTTCCTACTCAAAATACGTGCCAAGTGTGGCGAACACGCCTTTCTTAGTAGCTTGTCTTTTTACTTCCTGCCATGGCTTTTCATCCTTCTACATTATTTTTCTTTGCTTTCAAAAAAGAAAAAAAAAAAAAAGGAAAATCTTAATTTTTTGGACAAGCAGGGATGACCTGGCCTCAACACTTACATGTGGGGGCTGAAATAGTAAGTGGTAGTTTCTCGGAATATTTACTCTGCTTTTGCTGGCCAGCAGTTTGATAACCAGTGGGCTGTGGCTGGTCCTTGCGTCCGGTCTCTGGCATGTACTGGGCTGTTGTCCTTCTCCCTGACACACCCATCACAGCATCAGTTCAAAGACACTGGCATTTGTTTAGCGCATCGACAGTGGAAGAAGGCATTACCCTTAACTTGGGAAAGTGATTCAACAGTTTTACTTACATAGCAGTTAGTAGTTGACAGAATTCTTTCACAAATAACCACGATGCCAACGCTTTAGTGAGTTAAGTTTTATTAACTTGGGGCTAGAGGGACAGTTCAGCAGTTAGGAATACTGTTGTAAAGGATCCTAGTTCGGTTCCCAGCATACACATGGCAGCCCACGACAATTCTAGTAACAGAGGATCCGATGCTGTCTTCTGACGTTTGCAGACGTGTGCACAAATTTTGGCGTGCATATATACATTCAGGGACACACACATAAAATAAATCTTATAATTAAACAATTTTACTATGTTGCATATTTAAGACAATAATATTTATTTTTTTAAACTTAAAAACAGGTTGGGAGAAGAAACTTCAGAATGCTGTTTATAGTGAACTGAATGTGTGAGTTCTTTTCCATCTATTTTGAGATACCTTTTTTAAAAGTAGATTTACCTTGTAAGTAGTAAAATTAGTGTTGCTGTTTATAAATGTATTCTCATTTATCCTTAGTATAAGATAGGATCTCAAGTAAGTTTATGTCACAAATCACTAGAGTCTAGTCTGAGAATGAGTAATGATTAGGTGGTGCTTTTCTATTTTACCAAATCTGTCTATAAAAAATGTATATTCATCCACTATAATTAGGTAATGGGGTAGGTCTCATAATACTTATATTCTTTTTACTGTTAACTTTGAACACCATGCTTCTTCCTGTCATTAAAAACTGATCAATCTAAACATTTCTTTTTCTTTGTACAATTACTATTGTTACAAGAACCTACTGTTTTTATTTTTATTTGTCTTAATTGACCATCAGGGCTTACTAAAGTTTACAGAACTTTTGCTCTAAAAAAAAGGCAAAGTGAGGGCTGGACAGATGCCAGTGGTTAAGAGCACACATTGTTCTAGTAGAACACCCCACATGAGATTTCTAGTGCTATTATCAGGCAGCTCAGCCACCTGTAACCAGAATCAAGGGATGCAACGACTCCCTCTTGTGGCATCCGTGAGAACCTGTACTTGTGCACAGACCTCATCCCCCCACAAACGCTTAATTAAAAGTAAAATAAATCTTTCAAACTAAAATGTAGGTGGGGAAATATTTGTTAGGTAGCACACACACACTCACCCTCATGCCTAATAAAGCTTACCTCATTTTATTTGTTTTAATAACACTTTGAAAATTTTGGGGTTTAGTGAACAGAGTCTTCCATATTCTGTTATTGGCACGGACTCTGCCACTCTAGCTCAGTTTAGTGCTTCCCACTTCATACTCCACACCTTATTTCATTTTCCATCCACTTCAGATAAATGCTTGTATACTATTGCGTTAGCAACTATCCAGGCTATCTTGGCCATAGTTTGCATTGCTGGAATGCTCACTTTGTACCAGTGCTTTAGCACTTTATAGTTGTTCAGTTGTTTATGTACCAGGACCTAGGCTCAGTGCCCAGCACTGGTCCCCTAAAAGAGTTAAAAGGAGAGAGAAAAGGCTGCAATGCAATCTGCATAAATAACTACTTCTACCAAATAGAAGTTCATATTACCAGCATTTTATGGAAGAGTAATCTTCCTGACATGTCCAGTTTTTTTTTTTTTTTTTTTTGACATTTCAGTGATCATCCTCAACTACTCAGTCCAGTTACAAAGGAAAACAATCGCAAATAATCCAGTCATGTTTTAGGTGGTGCGGCAGTTTGAGAGGAAATGGTCTCCATAGGCTAGAGTGGCAGAGTCCATGTCAATAACAGAATATGGAAGGTGGCACTATTAGGAGCCTGGCTGGACGGGGTGGGTGTGTTCTTGCTGGAGGAAGTGGTCACGGGGAGTGAGCTTTAAGGTCTCGGATGCTCAAGCCACACTCAGTGTGACATTCATTTCCTGCTGCTGGCAGTCTGGCTGTAGAACCCTCAGCCCCTTTTCTAGCATGATGTCTGCCTGTCTCACAATGACTACGATGGACTGGACTTATGAAACTGTAAGCCAGCCCCAATTAAACGCTTTCCTTTAAAAAGAGTTGCTGTGGTCATGATGTCTCTTCATAGCAATATAAACCTTAACTAAGGCAAGTAGGTTTGTGATTTTGTTTTGAGTCACATTCATAGCTATACTTGGGCACATATGGCCCATGGGCTACAGTCTTAGTCTGGTTTGTGCTGCCCTTAGGGAAGACCCAGCAGTTGCTTACGTTGCTGCAGTGGTTTTAAGGTCCCACTAAGTTCATGGTGAAATGTAATTGCCACTGTAACAATATTGCCAGCTGAGACTCAAGGGACCATTAGGGTTGTACTGAGATTGTACTGAGATACTGTAACAGGCCGGGCTTGTCCCTGTTTCCCCAGTGAGCCTTTTACCTTCTGTCACCAGATGCTGTTGTGATTTTTCTGTGGTCGACAACCAGCTCTCAAATAACGACACGGAGATTATCATTAATTATGAATTAATAATGCTTTACACTGGCTTAGTTAGGCTTGTCCTACTAGCTGTTTTAACTTAACCTGTTTCTACTCATCTACATTTTGCCTCGGGCATTTTTTTTACCTTTCTTTCACTCTGTCTGTCGTACTTTCCTGTTTCCTCCATGTCCGTCTGTCTGACCCCTGGCGTCCCCCGGTGTCTTTTTCTTTCTTTTTTCAGGGTTAAATCCGACCTCCTACTTACTCACTTATACCTACTCCCTGGCTATTGGACATTCCACCTTTTATTAAGCCAATCAAATGCCTTAAGCAGGCAAGGTAAAACAGCAACACATCTTTACATAATTAAACAAGTGCAGCACACCTTTACATAGTTAAATATTCCACAACATGTGCAAATGCAACAACCACATGATACAGGAGCAAGTTTGTCTCCAGATGTTGGCACCTGGTCGTTTGACTTCCTGGAGCCTAGAACTATAAGCCAGGGTGTTCCCGTTCTTAACTGATTATAGTTTAGCTGGTTGTCGTGTTACACACCTATAATCCCCACACTTGGGAGGCAGAGGTAGGACCAGTAAAAGGCCGTCCTGGTCTGTATAGAAAGTTCCAGGCCTGATAGGGCTTCCCAGTGGGACCTTATGTGAAACACAAAACAAAAACATTACCCATTCCTAGAAGGATAGGATTGAAACTTCTATTAGGCCGGGTATACACACCTGAACTGTTAACAGATGCTCTATTCCATTTGTAGCATGAGCTGCAGAGGTAAGTAACTTCTTATCAGGAGAATTCGTTATTGTGACCTCAATACGCTACTTGGCTGCCTCTCTCTGCTCCTAGGTTCCCTTTGCCCAGTCATCCTTCTGCGCCTGCTGAGCATCTCAAAGAGCCTCTGGCATACATGAGGAAAGCACAGGTGGGCCACCGCTCACTTTTGTCCCCTTTTCCCTGCTCAGGGATGCGATGCAGAGTCTACGCTTAGTATGTGTTTACTCTTCATGCAAAGACTGGGTAAGAGCCTCTTAGACAATGCTGACAAACTATAGCAACCATGGAAAACATTACATAGAAGGAAAAAGGTCTTGAGACATTCTGGCTTAAAGTCTGAAATAGGGTAAAGCCTTGTACAACAGTCTACCCCTCATGGCCCGTGAATTTAAAAGAATGGAATATAGATAAACTAATGCATGAGAGGTAAAACATAAAACCCTAACCCCCTCTGCCCTCGGAAGCTCACGCTGCGGATGCCACATTGAAAACCATGTGCTCTTTAGCAGGTTGCCGTTGCTAGCCGGGTGCAGCAATGGTGAAATGGGGTTAGAAGGAAAAACTAAAACAAGTTAAGCACAAAACCTACAAGAAAATATTAACATGTAAAGTTAATGGGCCTGCCGCCTGTCCCCATCTCTCTCGTGTCCTTCATTGGGCACAGCCCCGTCTTCCTCCCTGGAACAGTCATTCCGGGGAGCCTTCCTCTGAGTGCCAGATGGGGCACGGCCTCAGAAATAGACTAATTTTTTCTTTAAGACGCGACGTTTTTTTCATTTTAAAACAATCTTTTCTCATTTTACACACCAATCCTACTTCTCACTCCGTCCTCACCGCCAGCTCTCCCCACCTCCTCCCCCCCCACCCATTCACGCCTCAGACAGGGTGAGTCTTCCCAAGGTGAGCCAAGGAAGGCTGCAGCGTCTCCACATACCCTTCCAAAGAGAACGGGCTCCAAAAAACCTGTTCAAGCAGTAGGGATAAATCCTGGTCCCACGGCCCGTGGCCCCACACACAGCCGTCACCCACACTCAGAGGGCCCAGGGTGGTCCCATGCAGGTTCCCCAGCTGTCAGTTCAGAGTCAGTGAGCTCCCACTGGCGTGGGTCAGCTCTCTTGACCCCTTTGCTCATATTGTCGCTCCTCCTTCCCATATTGTCACTCCTCCTTCTCTTTGACTGGTCTCTGGGAGCCCAGTGCTTAGCTGTGGATCTCCGCCTCTGCCTCCATCAGTTGCTGGAGTTACCATCTATGATGATAATTCAAGTAGTCATCAGATTACAGGGAAGGCCAGTTCAGGTACCCGCTCCACTGATGCCTTGGGTCTTAGCGAGGGTCATCCTTGTGGATTCCTGGGAATTTTCTTAGTGCCAGGTTTCTCTCTAGCCCCTACTGACTCCCTCAGCCAAGATCCCTCCTCCCTTGTTCTCCATCTCTGTCCTCCCCACCGCCCCCATCCAGTTCCCTCACGCTCTCCTCCCTCCTCTCTTCTCCTCCCTCATCTTCCCTTTTCCCAGCCAGCTATGCTCCCGATTTTCTTGAGAGCTCTTGTCTATGTCCCTTTCTCAGGGGGCCCATGTATGTCTCTCTTAGGGTTCTCCTTGTTACCTAGCTTCTCTGGGGTCTTTGACTCTAGGCTGGTTATCCTTTGCTTTATGTCTGTTATCCACTTACGAGTGAGTACACACCATTTTGTCTTTCTGGGTCTGGATTGCCTCACTCAGGATGGTTTTTTCTAGTTGTATCCATTCGCCTGCGAATTTCATGATACCATTGTTTGCTTGTTTGTCTTTTCCTGATGAGTAGTATTCCATTGTGTAAATGCGCCACGTTTTCTTTTTCCATTCTTCAGTTGAGGGGCATCTAGGTTGCTTGTAATTTCTGGCTATTATGAATAACGTTGCTATGAACACAGTTGAGCTATTGTCCTTGTAGTATGAGAGTACATCCTTTGGGCATATGGCCAAGAGTTGTATTGCTGGCTCTTGAGGTGGATTGATCCCCAGTGCTCTGGAAGATTGAAGTCATTCCTACAGAAACCTGTGAGCTTACCCTTCACCCCAGCACCCATGACATCGCCGCTACAGAAGGCGCTCTGCTGTGTCAGATGCCAGGCTCACGGTGGTGTACATTAGCAAGACTCTGACTGTCCTGGCCACTAAAACCTCCTCCAAATTAGATGCAGACAGAGACAGTGTAACAGAAACCAGGGAGATTTTGAGGAAATACGTAATCTATTTATTCTAAGTCGTGTCTCTAGGGTCAGATAATATTTATCTATTTGTATAAAATCACGATAGTTAAATATATTCATGAAAGAATTGTGAGCTTTTGTTATAAAAATTTAAACGAAAAAACCTAGAAGGTTCTAAATATTTTTAATAACATAATTATTTTTTTTTTGGAATTTCACATCACACACTCCAATCTCGCTCACCTCCTACCCCTCCTATGTGTCACACGCTATATCCTTTTGTCCAGTGAGGCCCACAAACGAAATGTTCCTTGCATGAGCTCCTGGTGTTTCAAGGCCTCTGCTTTCTGGTCACCATCATCACTGGACCCTCACTGAATTTCCTTTCAGATGTCCTGCTGCTGCCCCGAGCCAGGGACACCCTGCCCCACAGGGTTCTGCAGGACCTCACAAGTTCCTGCCAGTCATAGATGTTAGGGTGGCCAACACAAGGCCCAGGGTGTGGGCCTGGGTGGTAGCTGAGCTGGTCAGTCCAAGCTGTCCTGTCATGTGAGGGGTGGAGCCATGACATCACGGCCAGCTCTCCCACACCTGTGTGAGGAGTGGGGCCAGCTCCCCCAAGTGCAGGGGTGTGGGGAGGGGATGGGCAGCTCCCCTAGTGCAGGGGTGTGGGGAGAGGATGGGCAGCTCCCCTAGTGCAGGGGTGTGGGGATGGGCTGTGCAGCTCTCCCTAGTGCAGGGGTGTGGGGATGGGCAGCTCCCCTAGTGCAGGGGTGTGGGGAGAGGATGGGCAGCTCCCCTAGTGCAGGGGTGTGGGGATGGGCAGCTCCCCTAGTGCAGGGGTGTGGGGAGGGGCAGCTCCCTCTAGTGCAGGGGTGTGGGGAGGGGATGGGCAGCTCCCCTAGTGCAGGGGTGTGGGGATGGGCTGTGCAGCTCTCCCTAGTGCAGGGGTGTGGGGATGGGCAGCTCCCCTAGTGCAGGGGTGTGGGGATGGGCAGCTCCCTCTAGTGCAGGGGGTGTGGGGATGGGCAGCTCCCCCTAGTGCAGGGGTGTGGGGATGGGCAGCTCCCCTAGTGCAGGGGTGTGGGGAGGGGCAGCTCCCCTAGTGCAGGGGTGTGGGGAGGGGATGGGCAGCTCCCCTAGTGCAGGGGTGTGGGGAGGGGCAGCTCCCCTAGTGCAGGGGTGTGGGGAGGGGCAGCTCCCCTAGTGCAGGGGTGTGGGGAGGGGATGGGCAGCTCCCCTAGTGCAGGGGTGTGGGGAGGGGATGGGCAGCTCCCCTAGTGCAGGGGTGTGGGGAGGGGATGGGCAGCTCCCCTAGTGCAGGGGTGTGGGGAGGGGAGGGGCAGCTCCCCCTAGTGCAGGGGGTGTGGGGAGGGGAGGGGCAGCTCCCCTAGTGCAGGGGTGTGGGGATGGGCAGCTCCCCTAGTGCAGGGGTGTGGGGAGGGGCAGCTCCCCTAGTGCAGGGGTGTGGGGATGGGCAGCTCCCCCTAGTGCAGGGGTGTGGGGATGGGCAGCTCCCCCTAGTGCAGGGGTGTGGGGAGGGGCAGCTCCCCTAGTGCAGGGGTGTGGGGAGGGGATGGGCAGCTCCCCTAGTGCAGGGGTGTGGGGAGGGGCAGCTCCCCTAGTGCAGGGGTGTGGGGAGGGGCAGCTCCCCTAGTGCAGGGGTGTGGGGAGGGGATGGGCAGCTCCCCTAGTGCAGGGGTGTGGGGAGGGGATGGGCAGCTCCCCTAGTGCAGGGGTGTGGGGAGGGGATGGGCAGCTCCCCTAGTGCAGGGGTGTGGGGAGGGGAGGGGCAGCTCCCCTAGTGCAGGGGTGTGGGGAGGGGCAGCTCCCCTAGTGCAGGGGTGTGGGGAGAGGATGGGCAGCTCCCCTAGTGCAGGGGTGTGGGGAGGGGCAGCTCCCCTAGTGCAGGGGTGTGGGGATGGGCAGCTCTCCCGTGAGGGGCAGGGCCGCTAAACAGGGCCAGTGAAGGAGGGGACCAGCCCAGCATGGGCCCTCAGATTTCAACATGCATGGTTCCTATGGCCCCCCGTGGTAACACTGGCCATGGACATTAACACGGATCCCAGCTGCAGCAGAACCATGAACCCAGATGTGGCCCTCAGCTGCAGCTCAGGCTCGGATGTCACTGTGGTACCTTGTGGCAGCACAGGCTGCTCACATCAGTATGGCCCCAATGCAGTGTAATCTTCAAACCCTAACATGGCCTCAGGTGGCTGACCTGACCCCAGCTATCCTCACGACTTTTGGTGATTGCTGAAACCATGGACATCAACATAGACTCTGGCCACCTTGGGGCTATGGACCCAGACATAGCCCTTGCCAGCAGCTCAGGCCCAGATGTCATCGAGACCCCATGTGGCAGCACAGGCCACCCAGATGAGCATGGCCCAGTGGAGGCACGGCCCTTGGACACCAGCATGGCCACCGGTTGTGGCCTGGACCCTGGGCGTCTGTGTGGCAACATGGGCCATGGATATCAAGACCGACCCCAGCTGAGGTAGGACCATGGAATAAGCCATGTGAAATACCTCTGTCAGTCAGGCCTTTGTCACTGTGGGAAGTGCCCAAGAGAGCCACTTCAAAAGGAGGGCAGATTTATCCTGGGTCACAGTGAGCCAGGCTTGTTTATGACCTGCCGTCTCCGTTGTTCCCATGCAGGGTTGGGCAGAAATTGTAATGAAGGGTGCCGAGGAGCAGATGTGTTTCTCTGTTGGTGGACAGAGACCGCCGGGAAGGAGAAGGGCCAGGGACGAGAGACCTTTACAGAACAGCCTGCTAGTGACCCCGTTCCTCCAGCTAGCCTCTGTCCACTCTCGGCATTCCCAACGATACTGCAGCATTATGCGCCTCTGGGACGTAATTCGTCCATTTTCTCAGTCAATTACCTGGCAACAGTTGAAGCTCCCGCCCGGTACATGAGCTTATGGAGGCATCTCACAGTTAAACTATAATGCTTCACTCCCTAGCCCCTGAAGGGTCATATCTTCTCACACACTGAGATGGCATTAGTTCATTTCCAACAGTTCCAAAACTCGTAACAGTTCTATTATTGCTCAAACATCTGTGTCCAAGCTATCTTCTAAGACTTAGGGAATACTCTTTTCTGTAAACACTTAGAAATTAAAAAAAAAAAAAAAAAAAAAAAAAGCAAGTTGCATATTACACAATGGTACAGAGTGAACAATTCTATTCCAAAAGATAGGTAATAAGGTCATGGAAAGGAAGAATAAACCAAAGCGAGACTACAACGCGGCAGAGCATTAATCTGTCATCTGGGACACGTGGTCTTTTGACGTGAGCTCCAGAAGGCTTGGGCATCCGCACCAACACCACTGTCTCCAGCTGCAGCCCACATGGCTCCTCTCCTACGCTGGCTCTCCTCACAGCCTGTAGTTTTCTCCCAGACATTCACATCCCTGGCATCAGTGTATGCTTATCTGAAATCTAGGCGGATGCCTCCATGACACCGGAGCGCGTACATCGTGTCTGCTTGCAAGCCAGCGTCTCATGGACGACAACAGGGTTGCCTCGACTTGAGTGGTAACCAGGCTTCTCTGAACTGTGCCTCCCTGGCCAGCTCAGCACAGTGACCATGCCAGCGGGGCACCCTGTCTCCTCTGTTCTCACGAGAGAGGTCTGTTAAATGAATGAATGCACCTTGTGTAATTTTGAGTTTGCAATGGGCGGGCTCTAGCTAGTTCCCGAGATGCCTTCAAGACGTCAGTCCTGTTGTCTCAGTTTCAAATATCTGGCTTCTTTTTAACAGTGTGAATCTCTTCAGAAAATAACCCTTCCTTTACCTCGATTTTATATAGACTTTCCTGAGCAAACGTCAATATCTGTAAGTCTTTCTCATCTCTTTTCTTTTTCTCCTGCTTCTCAACATAAACCAGTCATCATGGACTTGTCACGATTTGTCATAGTAATGACCCTACTCCTGGTACCATTTTTCTTTTTCCTTTCCCTCCCTTCCTTCCTTCCTTTCTTTATTTCCATCACTGTGACAAGTATCTAGGAAAAACCTCAAGAGGACGGGAGAGTTTGTGGCTCGCAGCTTCAAAGGCTTCAGTGCGCCATCAGTTAGCCCTGTGCGCTGTGCCATGGTATGGTGGTAGGCTGTTGAGGCACAGATTTCCTCCCACGGGGCCCCACCTCCCATTTTTCACTATCTTCCAATGATGAAATTACATTATAAATCCATCAGAAGTTTGATTCATTAAGTCGGAACCATCAGGATCCAACCACTTCCCCAAACACTATTGACTGACAGTTAATACACAGCTTGTGGAGGAACATTTCCTATTCAAAGTATAAAACTGGTGTCCTGGCTAATGTCAGTTTTTCATCTGTCCAGAGGAAAGCCAGTTTTCATGGCGCCTGCTTAGTCTAGATCCCACGACTACCATTTGATCATGTTCCTTCTTGTGCCCTCATGGCCCTTTACTCCTTCAGACTTATTTGGTTTGCTGTTCAAGTCCTCAGCCTAACAGTACTTCCTTTGTTCCCTCTCAAACTGTTGGCAGCTTTGGGTCAGGAAGTCACTTAATTCTGTTAATCATCAGTCCCAGATAATTTATCTAACTTTCAAAGAATTAATCTTCCCCCTGCTGGTAATTTAATACCTTTTGCTTAGTGCCTGCCTTCCATTTAGACTGTACCAAAACGTCACCATGCTTGGATGACTTATAACTCTACTAATGTCTCACTCATTGTTAGTGGCTGTCCCTACTCAGTTGAGAATGTGTGGTTGTCTATTTAGCTATTTAGCACAGCTCTGTGAGTCTCAGCTGCCTAGCATTGGGCCCCTACTCTAGAGCTCAGCATTTACAGATGCCCGCTCCCTGTCCTCATGTCTTCCATGTTACTGTCCCCGCTGTCGTGTGTGTGACTGTCCTGTGTGCTCATCTAGGTCACGGTGTCCTTCCCTCCTGCATTATGAACACCTGAAGCATCTTTGCACCCATTGTATCTACTCTCCTGACCATTATGCAGCAGGAACTTAGTTTATGCTCAACTAAGAGTTGCAGCTTTGCTACCAGCCAGGCTTCCATAGTCACGTAGGTCTGAACAACACCAGATTTAGTGGAATTTAAACATTTAAACTTTTATCCAATGTTATTTAAACTTCCATGATTGTGAAACCCCACTTCTGTATAAGAAACCTCGGGAACTACTTCGGCACATCCGAAGACAGCAGTGTCTGAAGAAAGTGGTACAAGCTCGGGAGCGGACCGGGTTTCTTTTTAACTTGTGCTGGTAGCACCTGGAGCTCTCATGTGCCAGCAACCTAGAGCCCACATGTGGCGGCTGTTTGCTTAGCGCCCATGGCAACTGATGAGAAGAGCCACTCTGCCTCACTTTACAGAAGCCGTCAGGGGTAGGCATGGATCGTGACCTGGACAGTATGAACCAGAGTCCATGTTTCATTAGCCCTTACCCACTTGTGGAAACTCAAAACACACCACGTGGGTCTGTCAGTCCCCAGATGTCCTACAGGACACCCACTCAGTGCCTGAACGGACTTCTCACTAGGCTCCAGTTCTCAAAACTCCCCTTCCCCCTCAACTGTAAGTGCACTGCTGGGGTCCAAGGCTTTGATATGTGGGCCCAAGGACACTGTTGACGTCACAGCACTGTGGACAGTACCTAATGCAGAGTGAGAAGTGACCGGTGTTTGTGGAGCGAACTAATGAGGACAGCCATCTCGGCCATCTTTGCCGTTCCTGTCAGTATTATGGTAATGGTGATTTCTTTTTGGTGTAGATATTGCTAGTGAAAAACAATGATAGGCTGCTCCTTTTGTTTCAGGGAAGTTGGGAAAAAAGAATCTTGAAGAGTTTAAATAGTATGTGCACTGAACTGAGTATCCCATTGGCACGAAAGGTAAATTTAACATTTTTCTGCTACAGTACCTTTATTGTGAGTTAACTACTGGAAAATGTCACAGAGTTGTGTAGCTGTTAGGCTTGTTATTCTTCACTTACTGGTGTATCAGTAAGTGTCAATTGTTTGGTTGTGTCTTATACATATTCTTACTTTATATACTTTAGTGTTTGTGATAATGAGCCTATGTTTTAGCCTACTTAAACATTTGGTTGTTGTCTTAGTTACTTTACTATCGATGCGCTAAAACAGTATGGCCAAGGCAGGTTGTAGAAAGAAGGGTTTATTTGGAGCTAACTGTTCCAGAAGGGTAGAGGCCCTCTCTGTCACAGCGGAGGAGCATAGCAGTAGGCCGATGACTGGAGCAGCCCTGAGAACACAAGCAGGGTCAGAGAGACATTTGGGAATGGTTTGAACTCACACAGTACACCCCCAGTGACATACTTGCACACGCCGAGTCATGAGCACAGCTGCGCTGTCCCTTGAAATCCATGCTGACTGCAATCCTGTGGTTGGCAATATGACAACATCTGCCAGGATTGGTATAAGGAATGACAGGAATAATTGGCTGTTTCTCCGCAGACATGGACGTCTATTTAGACCTAGTTCTTTCTTAATGGAGGGAGAGCTGGGGATGAGAGAAAAGTCTCCAGGAGTCCGTCCTAGATACTGTGGCTGCTCACAAGTGCGGAACAAGCGTCCCTTTGCTTTCTTTTATGCCCACCATTACCCAGTTGACGAGAGCCAAGGGGAAGCCACTGAAGGCACCACCAGGGTAGTGTCTAGACAAGTCTTAGATGAAAACCTGCCTGGATGTGTAGTATGGTGTGATACTGTCTCGCACATCGGAAGGTCATGCCACTGAGTCATCCCTATTTCCCCAGCCAGTCCTCTTGCCATGCATTTCTAAGCTTGCTGATGGGGAGAGAAGTATTGAGTGTGGCTGAGGGGCAGAGCAGGTCGCTCTGTGTGAGACTTACTGGCCGGTCTGGCCATTTACCTTCTCTCCTTGGACTCATTTGCACCAAATTCCGACTATGCCACCAAGTCTAGATTTGCTTCAGTCATTTTAAAAGTTAATTTCAAGCATAATTCCAAAGAAGTTTTCCATGTTTAATTTGTTTCTCATATGCTGTGATACCTTATTTAAACTTCTGAATATGTAACTGACTTTGGAACTAATTCAATACATTTTTAGAGACCAGTTGGAGAACAGAAAGAACTTCTCAATAAATGGAATGAAATGGGAACTGATGAGCCAGGTATGTGAAGGATTTCCTGCAGGATTGGTGATTTGACTGACATAACCTGACACTTCCTTTAGAGGCATGGGAACTCCCACCTCCGCTGACCTGATGTCTGCTTTGCTGGTTCCTAGTTTGCAGCTTAAGGATTCCCAACTTTAGGCTGTTTTCCATTGCTTAGACAACATTAAATAATTTATCCTCTTTTTTTCAAATAGCATTTTAAACCTTTTAAATAAAAAGGTATAGCATCCTTCTGTCCCCTCTTCTGCGATTTTCCATGAGCCTTAGGTGTAGGAGTTTTCTGAACAGATTTTTCAGTTGGGGGAAAGATTGTAAAAGACAGGACCAGGAGATCTGCTGTGAGATTATGTCTTCTATATAAGACAGGGAAGCTCTACCCATGAAAGGGTAACAACAAGGCAGGCTGGCCTAAACAAGGCCTGAACAAGGACAACACCAGTTGCTATGCCAACACGGACGGGGAAAATCTCATGAAGGACTGTAGACAGTTAACACCAGCTGAGAGGGGAAACCAGGCTTCCCTAGGAATGTCCCATGCACTTATCCAGGACCAGGCGTTTATCCCTAAAAACATGCTATGAGCAACACTGAATGGATGTGGCTGGTTATGTGTATATAATGTGTGTGTGTGTGTGTGTGTACATGGAACAGCATTAATTAGAGAAAAAAGACAGAGATCACACATGAAATCAGAAAGGGGGCTTGGAGCTAGAAAGTGGGACAGTAGCAGGGAAGGGGGTGATGCTAGGGAACTGAGGTAATTAGAGTATGTTATACCCATGTATAAAATGTCATTATGAAGCCTGTCAGTTTGTGCCATTAATAAATGCTGATAAAAATGAAAAAAAAAGTAAATACATTCATTCAATAGCTTCCTGAGACTTGTCTTTAGTTAAGGTGAGAATTTTGTAGGTTAATTATGCTGAGGTGCCGTGGAGATTGACCAATGAAAACAAATGTTAGGATTAGTGGTTTTCGATTGTATTTTGCGTCACATTAAACTTCATGTACAATCAGATTCATAAACATACAGTGAGTATAAGTGTATATTGCAGATGCCTGCACACGTGGCTTTGCCCGTCTTGTGGCCCCACTACTGAGGGTGGTCTGGGAACCAGACCAGCAGCTAGGAAATGCTGCACCTGACGTCAGAAAAGCTCAAGGGGAGGGGGATCCACTGAGCACGCATTATTTATAGTCCTCACTTGGAAAACTCTCATATGGGGTCTGTTGCGAAACTCCCAAAGACCTTCTACAGTGTGTTATTTAAGTTGTCAAGGACTGCGTGTTTGTAGCTGTGTTCCCACGGTTTCACACAAATAACCAATACCCGACAAATATGTGATCCGTTTCTATAGAAACATAGTAAAGTGACAGTGCCATTTATATTTGTTGACCTTTTCATATATTACCTGAAATTTTGTCTTACTCTAACTCATTCCAGATTTAAGCCTTTTTCGACCCGTTTATGCGCCTAAGGACTTTCTTGAGGTATGTTCTGTTGGATAGACATGCAAATGTGATGGACAGATATGCAAATATGATGGGTGTAATTGAAGGCTGTACATGACCCCACATAGCTTTTTAACCTATGGTTTCGCAAGGGCAAACTGTACAAAAGACTAACCAGGCTTGTTGTTTATTTTTAAAGGTACTAATTAATCTCCGCAACCCAAATTATGAAAATGGTGATTCTCTTAGTTTTAGGACTCATTTGGGTTTAATTCAAGTTCCTCTGAAAGTAAAAGACATCCCTGAATTGGTAAGTATAGACATTAAAGAATAAATTAGTGTATATTAGATGATAATGTATCTATTGTAATAAAAGTCATAGACACGTTAAACATTATTAAAGTGATATCTTTATAGCTGAAAATGTGTATATAGAAAGAGCAACTTCGTATGTGGAAGTCAAAGCAAGCTCACGTTGCCCTATGTATGTTTTGCCCATTATTTCAAAAAAGAGTAAATATTTATGAGTTTGTGGAGACTCAGGTTCTGATGTGTGGCTATTAAAATGATTGGAACAAATCAGAATATTTATAAAAGAATGTTTAAGAAGGCACATGTTATTTTATTTAACCAACTTTCCTGGAGCTCAGAACCTGGTAAGGCACTGAGAGAAACTGCGTTTGCTCTGGAGCCCATCGTTTCAGGGAGGCACTGGCTTGTAAATGACTAGTGAGGAGATTTCCTGATGGTGGAGCTAAGCTGTCATCACTCCTTTTCACTCATCCCAAAATAACAAAGGACACAGCATTGTCAGCGTGTCTGTCAGGAAACTCCGAACGTTAAAGATGGAGAGGTCGTGATTAACCTAAAGCCAGAGAAGTTGGAGAAGATAGGAAGTATGGAAGGGAGGTGCGCGGGAACCCCTTTATCTGTCTGCACAGGAACCCCTCCATGCATCTGCGCAGGAACCCCTCTATCTGTCTGCACAGGAACCCCTCCATGCATCTGCGCAGGAACCCCTCTATCTGTCTGCACTGGAATCCCTACATCCGTCTGCGCAAAAACCCCTCCATCCGTCTGCGCAGAATCCACTCCATGCATCTGCACAGGAATTCCTCCATGCATCTGCGCAGAAACCCCTCCATCCGTCTGTGTCCGTTCAGGAATCCCCACCCGTAGGAGCTCAGAGGCACATCCGCCAGAGATACAGACTCGGAGTCCCTGTTAATTCACGGTGGGAAGAGAGGAGTCATTAAGACAGGGGTCGAGTGAAAGTCTGTGGAATAATGAGACTGAGGTTCTTGTCTCTCTGCTGCTGTGCTTTCCGGCCCTGGGTCAACTCTAAAACACCAGAAAAGCGAGCGAAGATGTGGGAGCTAAAGCAGGGTTGCCTGGCTACAGAGTGGCTAACAGAGGCCCGCCACACTCTAGGGAAGTCTTAGCTGCATGGCCCCCAATTAGTTTCATTGCTTTGTTCCCAGACTTGAGTGATAAACTTAAAACCCCCAGGTATTGTAGGCAAAAGGAGAGGGGGCTGGGAGGGCAAGGGAGGATGGATGAGTAGGAGAGCGTGGGTTTGTAGAATGAGCACTGTAGGTGCTGTAGACGTTTGAGGTTTGCTCTTAGGGTGGAGGCCACAACTGGACCCCGTAATGACTGCAATTTATAGGGAGACACGAGATGGAAAACAGACATGCCAGTGTCCCAGCAAAACCATACTCTCCTGGTGTCTCCAGCTTGGCTCCAATCTTGGGTTGGTCTCTTTTGGAGCTTGGTAGAGCCTTTCCTTTCTATTTTGTCTCTTCATTGCCATTTCTGGACATTCTCTGTGATTGGAATAATATGTATTGGGCAAAATAACAATTGCAGGTTCTACCCTGTGGCCTATGCTCTCCCAGTCGTGGATTATAGTACCAATCATGCTAGTCCCTCCCGTGGAGCAGGCTTCAAGTCCAATCAGAAGGTGATTAGTCACACACAACAGCCATGCCTCTGGTGCGCCGCGGGCACATCTGGCCTGCGAGGTCAGCACTGCAGCATGTGGCAGTACTTTGGACTCCTCATCTGTTCTCCCTAGGACTCATCCTTGCCATCCTTACTCTGTGTTGGGGTGATTCTGACCCAGAATGATTGTCTACTAACTCTAAAGAGAGCTTGTGACTAATTTAGTGGAGCAGCCAGATAGGACTAGACACTGGTGTTCAGTATTGGCTGGGTCGGGTGTTTTGATAAGTATTGGGGAGCTCAGTACTAAGAGACAGTCCTGACCTTCAAAGAACGGCAGAAATTAAGGAATGGACAGTAGGAGAACAATAGTGTAGTGCACTGTACTACAGGAGAGTGTAGTGTAGTGACTACAGGAGAGTGTAGTGTAGTGACTACAGGAGAGTGTAGTGTAGTGTAGTGACTACAGGAGAGTGTAGTGTAGTGACTACAGGAGAGTGTAGTGTAGTGACTACAGGAGAGTGTAGTGTAGTGACTACAGGAGAGTGTAGTGTAGTGACTACAGGAGAGTGTAGTGTAGTGTAGTGACTACAGGAGAGTGTAGTGTAGTGTAGTGACTACAGGAGAGTGTAGTGTAGTGACTACAGGAGAGTGTAGTGTAGTGACTACAGGAGAGTGTAGTGTAGTGACTACAGGAGAGTGTAGTGTAGTGGACTACAGGAGAGTGTAGTGTAGTGACTACAGGAGAGTGTAGTGTAGTGTAGTGACTACAGGAGAGTGTAGTGTAGTGTAGTGACTACAGGAGAGTGTAGTGTAGTGACTACAGGAGAGTGTAGTGTAGTGTAGTGACTACAGGAGAGTGTAGTGTAGTGTAGTGACTAGGTGTAGTGACTACAGGAGAGTGTAGTGTAGTGACTACAGGAGAGTGTAGTGTAGTGTAGTGACTACAGGAGAGTGTAGTGTAGTGACTACAGGAGAGTGTAGTGTAGTGACTACAGGAGAGTGTAGTGTAGTGACTACAGGAGAGTGTAGTGTAGTGTAGTGACTACAGGAGAGTGTAGTGTAGTGACTACAGGAGAGTGTAGTGTAGTGACTACAGGAGAGTGTAGTGTAGTGGACTACAGGAGAGTGTAGTGTAGTGACTACAGGATAGTGTAGTGTAGTGACTACAGGAGAGTGTAGTGTAGTGACTACAGGAGAGTGTAGTGTAGTGTAGTGACTACAGGAGAGTGTAGTGTAGTGACTACAGGAGAGTGTAGTGTAGTGACTACAGGAGAGTGTAGTGTAGTGACTACAGGAGAGTGTAGTGTAGTGTAGTGACTACAGGAGAGTGTAGTGTAGTGACTACAGGAGAGTGTAGTGTAGTGACTACAGGAGAGTGTAGTGTAGTGTAGTGACTACAGGAGAGTGTAGTGTAGTGTAGTGACTGCAGGAGAGTGTAGTGTAGTGACTACAGGAGAGTGTAGTGTAGTGACTACAGGAGAGTGTAGTGTAGTGACTACAGGAGAGTGTAGTGTAGTGACTACAGGAGAGTGTAGTGTAGTGACTACAGGAGAGTGTAGTGTAGTGACTACAGGAGAGTGTAGTGTAGTGTAGTGACTACAGGAGAGTGTAGTGTAGTGTAGTGACTACAGGAGAGTGTAGTGTAGTGTAGTGACTGCAGGAGAGTGTAGTGTAGTGACTACAGGAGAGTGTAGTGTAGTGACTACAGGAGAGTGTAGTGTAGTGTAGTGACTACAGGAGAGTGTAGTGTAGTGTAGTGACTGCAGGAGAGTGTAGTGTAGTGACTACAGGAGAGTGTAGTGTAGTGACTACAGGAGAGTGTAGTGTAGTGACTACAGGATAGTGTAGTGTAGTGACTACAGGAGAGTGTAGTGTAGTGACTACAGGAGAGTGTAGTGTAGTGTAGTGACTACAGGAGAGTGTAGTGTAGTGACTGCAGGAGAGTGTAGTGTAGTGTAGTGACTACAGGAGAGTGTAGTGTAGTGTAGTGACTACAGGAGAGTGTAGTGTAGTGTAGTGACTACAGGAGAGTGTAGTGTAGTGTAGTGACTACAGGAGAGTGTAGTGTAGTGACTACAGGAGAGTGTAGTGTAGTGTAGTGACTACAGGAGAGTGTAGTGTAGTGTAGTGACTGCAGGAGAGTGTAGTGTAGTGACTACAGGAGAGTGTAGTGTAGTGACTACAGGAGAGTGTAGTGTAGTGACTACAGGAGAGTGTAGTGTAGTGACTACAGGAGAGTGTGAGTGTAGTGACTACAGGAGAGTGTAGTGTAGTGTAGTGACTACAGGAGAGTGTAGTGTAGTGACTGCAGGAGAGTGTAGTGTAGTGACTACAGGAGAGTGTAGTGTAGTGTAGTGACTGCAGGAGAGTGTAGTGTAGTGTAGTGACTACAGGAGAGTGTAGTGTAGTGTAGTGACTACAGGAGAGTGTAGTGTAGTGACTACAGGAGAGTGTAGTGTAGTGTAGTGACTACAGGAGAGTGTAGTGTAGTGTAGTGACTACAGGAGAGTGTAGTGTAGTGACTACAGGAGAGTGTAGTGTAGTGACTACAGGAGAGTGTAGTGTAGTGACTACAGGATAGTGTAGTGTAGTGTAGTGACTACAGGAGAGTGTAGTGTAGTGTAGTGACTACAGGATAGTGTAGTGTAGTGACTACAGGAGAGTGTAGTGTAGTGTAGTGACTACAGGAGAGTGTAGTGTAGTGACTACAGGAGAGTGTAGTGTAGTGACTACAGGAGAGTGTAGTGTAGTGTAGTGACTACAGGAGAGTGTAGTGTAGTGTAGTGACTACAGGAGAGTGTAGTGTAGTGACTACAGGAGAGTGTAGTGTAGTGACTACAGGAGAGTGTAGTGTAGTGACTACAGGAGAGTGTAGTGTAGTGGGTGACTACAGGAGAGTGTAGTGTAGTGACTACAGGAGAGTGTAGTGTAGTGACTACAGGAGAGTGTAGTGTAGTGACTACAGGAGAGTGTAGTGTAGTGACTACAGGAGAGTGTAGTGTAGTGACTACAGGAGAGTGTAGTGTAGTGTAGTGACTACAGGAGAGTGTAGTGTAGTGTAGTGACTACAGGAGAGTGTAGTGTAGTGACTACAGGAGAGTGTAGTGTAGTGACTACAGGATAGTGTAGTGTAGTGACTACAGGAGAGTGTAGTGTAGTGTAGTGACTACAGGAGAGTGTAGTGTAGTGACTACAGGAGAGTGTAGTGTAGTGTAGTGACTACAGGAGAGTGTAGTGTAGTGTAGTGACTACAGGAGAGTGTAGTGTAGTGACTACAGGAGAGTGTAGTGTAGTGACTACAGGAGAGTGTAGTGTAGTGACTACAGGAGAGTGTAGTGTAGTGACTACAGGAGAGTGTAGTGTAGTGACTACAGGAGAGTGTAGTGTAGTGACTACAGGAGAGTGTAGTGTAGTGACTACAGGAGAGTGTAGTGTAGTGACTACAGGAGAGTGTAGTGTAGTGTAGTGACTACAGGAGAGTGTAGTGTAGTGTAGTGACTACAGGAGAGTGTAGTGTAGTGACTACAGGAGAGTGTAGTGTAGTGACTACAGGAGAGTGTAGTGTAGTGACTACAGGAGAGTGTAGTGTAGTGTAGTGACTGCAGGAGAGTGTAGTGTAGTGTATTATACTATAGGTAAAACTGAGAAAAGATAATATGTTGAGAGTTCCTTTTGTCAGCCTGGAATAGCAAGGGAGGCTTCTGAGGAGCCATGCCCTCTATGATCAATTTTGATGGAATTCTGGGAATTTTCTAATGTAAATGAATAATAGTCCCGAGCAATGACAAGGAAAATGGACATTCAAAGCTCATGTGTCATAAGTAAAGCTCTTCATTTTTAATACAGACCCTAGTACTGAAGTGTATATTGTCTGTACATTTGTGTTTTAGTATCCAGCCCAATGCTATTCTTAAACTAAGATATGTAACCGTTAACAGTGATGACTCAGTGGAAGAGGAGTCCTAAAATACATGGAAGACAGATATTTGGAAAAATTAAAATTAACTGAATTTTAAAATAGAGGGAAGTATGGCTCACCAATCGGAATAGTTATAATGTATTGAAGCAACTGTCAGTAGAAATATTTAATTACTTGTAGAATAAAGCAATATGATTAATATGTGGTTTTTTAGTTTGTAAAACACAGCTGTGATTATTGTCCTAGGACATTACCAGATAAGTGAAGGAAGTCTTATAATTCTAATTCACCTTTATTTTAGCTGAGCAGTTAATAGTTCAGTTTGGCTCAAAAATGAGCTTGTTTTGGATACTTGTAGTTTGGCTTCTTATCATCAGAGTAAGATGCCAAGTCATAGAAAATACAGAGAAGTTTATTTTGGTAATTTTGGACAATGATGTTAGATAAAGTTGAAAAGTATGATGTGAATCAGTGACTGACTGTGGGGTAGGGGGTGGGGAGGGGTGCTCTGTGTGTGTGTGTGTGCTTGCTTGCTTGCTTTAGGAAAGGTTAGAGCATTACTATGCCTTTACCCGGAAGAATAGGTATCATTTCTTACTGTACTGATTTGTGGGTTATGTAAAGAGGCAAAATCAAGAAAAAAAATTTTTTTGAAGAATTCAGTAGCAGCATTCATACTGACCAAAGTGTTCAAAGTGAAAAATTGTAAAAAGGAAAAGTAATGAAAAGTATTACCAAGGGTCCTGCACTGGGAAAATACTGTTTAAGTTCCTTTTCTCATCATGTATCATTTTTCCTAAATGCTGTGGGTTTTCTAGTCATGTTTATTTTGCATGGAAAGGATGCATGGTCATACCTGCAGTACATAGCTGTGGGTATTCTATTCCTCAATTTCTATTACTGTCCTTTTAGTTTTTAATAATTGTATGGAACAGATTCATTTTACATGTGATTTTTTTTGCTTGTTAATACTTAGATAGAAGTAACATCAGAGTCTGAGATGTGTGCTAATTCTTCATGTGTTACTTTTCAGAAAGAATGCTTTATAGAACTTGGCTTAAATACAGGACAACTGGGTATAGATGATTCTACACAAGTACCTCCTGGTTAGTATTTCTCATGTGACATTTAATTGGTGACGAGTAGTAGCTTCCAAGTACACAGGTCATGTGTGTGCAGATCAGTGGCTTACACGGTGGGAACACTGTGTGACCCCCAACCCAATGAAGAAATAGTAGATTACAATAGCTCAGAGCCCCCCTGGGCACAGGAGCAGACTCTGCCATCTCCGTAATAACCGCTACTCACCTTGAAACGCCATAGCCAGTGTGGCCTGTGTGCATTATTCCCTGCACGCACCAGTTTGTGGTTTCTTCAGCTTAGCGTTGTCTATAAGATGCATAGTGTTGTGGAGAAAGCTTACTCGGTTCAGTTTTTGAATTGTGATCCTCCATATGTAAATACTGCTGTCTGTCTTGTCTGTTGTTGACGGCCATGCGAATTATTCCCACCATTTGGGTGTCATCGGTTGTCCTGCTGGCTGTGAATATCCTTTGACAGGCCATTTGATGCGTATGTAGATTTAGGGCACATGCCTGGGAGCCAGCTGACAGTGATAATATCATGTGTACACACACAGTGTCAGTGGATAGTGCCAGTCTCCAAGGTTATCACGCCGTCTTACACTCTGCTCTTCTGTGGATGAGAGTCTCTGCCTCTGTAATGCATCCCCGTTTTCTATTGGTTCTAATGGTTTTCTCTGACGACTGATGTGGCCAACAGCTTTATGGTTCCTGAGTTGTGTACCGTTGTTGGTAAAGAACCTCTTCATGCTCCTGGCTTATTTGGGTCTGACAGTTGCTTCTTTCTGCAAGGCTGTCTTCGTAAATTCTGGATACAAGCTCTCCGCCACATATAAATGTTACAAATGCATTCAGCAACTTACTCCCTTGATAGTTTCCTTTCTTTTTCTCTTGTGAAGAGTGTATTTTAGTGTGGCATAGTTAGTGCATCTGTTTACATTGTGACTGATACTTTTAAAAAAGCAACTGTTGTAGTGAAAGCTTTTAAATAGCACTCACGAGGCTGAGCTTCTATCTACAAGACACAGGCTGTGCTTAGATTTTGATGCTCAAGTGCAGGGGAAATTGGAATTTATGAAGGATGCTGCTCACAAGGTTGTTGGGTTTTTAACTCAAAGAATTTTTTCTTGAGAATTTTTAACTGATTATTTTGTATTATTTATGTGATGTGTGTGTGTGCTTCTGTATGTATATGTCTGTGTGTGTGTGTGTGTGTGTGTGTGTGTGTGTGTGTGGTGTGGTATGTGGTGTGTGTGGTAGTTTGTGCCTTGAACTTAGAAGGTTGAGGCAACAGGGTTGTGAGCTTGAGGCCACCCCAGGCTACTTAGTAAGATTAAGGCCAGACTGGGCAGAAAGATTCTGTTTCAGACAAACAAATTCTTAGTTTTCTACATAGTTATCCTACTTTAAAAATGAAGTGTCAGGCCATGTGTTGGTGGAACATGCCTTTAATCCCAGCACTGGAGATGAGAAGGCAGGTGGATCTCTGTGAGTTTGAGGCCAGCCTGGTCTACAGAGTGAGTTCCAGGACAGTGTCCAAAGCTACACAGAAAAACCCTGTCTTGAAAAACCAAAAATATAAGTAAATAAATAAATAATAAAAATAAAAGTATCAGCACCGGGGAAACATGCTTCTTACTCTCGATGTAGTTTATAATGTTTGTGTCTAGTAATTGTATTTTCTTTTAACATTTTTAGAACTTTTTGAAAATGAGCATGTGCGTATTGGGCAAAAAGGTAAGTTTATCCAGGTTTATTAAAAACTATAAAAAATGGGACAGCTCTAGGTAACTGTCACCATGAAAAAGCCTCAGGTGAAATTTATTCTCTGTAAAGGGAAGCACCAGTCATGTTTAACCCGGCAGGTAATCCAACAGGAGCCATCTTTAGAAGCCAACGCAGCGAGTTCCCTGTCTGGTCAGTGTAGATTAAGCACTCTGCTGGCTCGCTGAACAGGAGACGCAGTCCCATGCTGCTCCGCCACATGAGAGGTGTGGCTGTGCAGCAGAATCTCATCTCCCCATCAGGAAGCGGCTTTCTCTTTAATGCTCCCACACACCTCTTGTTAGCGCTAATGAGGGCATGCTCCTGCATCAGGACAGGATGGAGCTCTTCAATCCCGCTGAGTTCACAGAGATAAGGCATAATAAGCGTGGCAGGTCTCCACATCCCGAGGAACAATTGCCCATCTTTTAGGCACACTTTTTCTTTCCTTTTTTTTTTTTTTTTTTTTTTTTTTAAGCCTTTATTGTCTTTGAGGAGCAAAGAAGGCTGTGTAGACTGAACCATCTGTGACAATTATCATCATACACCGATGTCCCTATTTCAGTCATCTTAATTTCAAAGACCTCCTTTGTAGGCTTGGCTTCTTTCATTAAACACTCAGATAAAGAATGTTATTTGAAAATTAATATGCTCTGCTCGCCTCTTCTCATCATGTCATTTAGTGCAAAATTTCCTCTTCCCTTTAAAAGGATACAAGAAAATAATACCGTTAGATAAACCCCTGGATACATAACATGTCTGTCTCATATTTTGTCTGTTTGCTTTTATTTTATGGGCTCTTTGTTTTCAGGTTTAATAGCTCATATTTTAATTAAAGAAAATAAAAACAAAAGCAGAATGATACTATACTGATTTTTATATGGGTGCTTAATGATAATTTTGTTGAAAGTTTATTAGTCTTCTTTTGTATTTCTTTTCCAACCTGACCTTTGAAAACAGTTTTTCAGAGCTAAGACGTCATTTGGTAGAATGGGTGTCTTTTTCCTTACACATTATTCTTGGACAGGATACTTACACATGTACAGTGCTGCTTCCAAATAACAGAAGGCCCATGACTTGGAGGCTTGCATTTATGACAACTACGGGTTCTGAGGATGAGGCTCTGCTTGGTCACAGAAGCCAGACAGCAATCTTATTAGTAGTTGCAGGTCGGTGGGAAAGCACAAAGATCTGAAGGCGTCAGTATTGAAAGCTTTGGAGCCAAGGGAGAGGAAGACTTGAAGCCTTTGGGTTGTGGTAGGGCCATCTCAAAACCCGGAGAGTGGAGGAAGGAAAGGATAGGTGGATGCCATTGTGTCTCATGCATAGTTTCGCTAATGAGAGATTTCTGAGGTGCTCCTAGCGCGTGAGTGTCTAACAGGACTTTCTATCCGTTTGACAGTCCTAGGGCAACAGGATAGCGCTGCTGCCCAGCAGTACATCCGGCAAGGAAGTCCCACGGCACTGAGAGCCGAGCTCTGGGCGCTCATTTTGAACATCTCCAGTCAACCCGAGGTAAGAAGCAGACGGGAGGGATCAAACTGGGTTGTTCCGTTTGTTTTCTAAATACCGATTTTCCAACGCGGACAAGCTGGTAAGGAGTTTCTTTTTCCCCCTGCTCTTCCTTTCCACACATTTTAAGGTCAGTGTGCTCAACAGACACTCTCCTTAATAAAGGGTGTGATCGTGCGTATATGTAGTAAAACAAGCAGGAAAATTTTAAGAACGCAGATCAATGAAGAACGATGAACAGCTGAACATGAATTCTTTGTGATTTATTTAATTTATTTGGTTGGTTTTTTGAGGAAGGCTTTCATGTAGCCCATAGCTGGCTTTAAAACTCATCTACGTGGCTGAGGCTGGCCTTGAACTTGCAATGCTCTTGTCTCTGCTTATGATAGTGTTGGGGTTATAAACATGGACAACCACGCTTGGGTTTTATGGTTGCTTTTGAAGTGAGTGCTATTCCCTTGGTGAGAATATTCGTTTTCTAAATGATGACCATTTTTTCAGGGAATACAATGGATATTGACCAAATCACTAACAGAGAGACCATGGATTTTTTTTTTTTCCTAATGCTGGGCATAGAGCCTAGGGCTTCATGCATGGGAAGCAAACACTCTACCAACTGAGTTACCCCAGATTTAGTAATGAAACCTGCATAAGACATTAACTTCTCCTAGAGTATTCTCAGTGTACACATATAGTCGCCTATGTAAAGTGGCTCCATGTATTTGTAAATTCACCCATTTAAAGATTTTTAATCATTGTCACACTGATAGTGTACCAGCTTCTAGGGTTATATAAACCTGGCTTAAATCCAGAGTTCCCTCAACTTACTGAACACATATATCATTGAGCAAATTGCTTAAATGTCTTCAAGCCTCGGTCAACCTGTACGTAAATGTAGGTAAATTTACATCAAAGAATTGTGCCATATTAAAAAGCAACATATATGAGTTTATTATATAATAATGGACACATGTTCACCACTAATGGCAGTAGTCAATTAATATCACCTGTAATTATGTTACAAATTAATTGTAAGTGATCATTCTGATAACAAAATAAAATGTTAATGTCTGTTATGAAAACTCCATGTCTAACCCTTGCAAACTATGTCTAGTGTGAATGTGCATGTATGTATGGTGTGTGCTTTAAGTCTCATTTGTGAAAGAATAAAGCATAAGATTTATGGAGAGCAGGAGATAGTGCTATCTTTTGGCAACCCTTTGGAGATACTTTTTTACAAAACAGATTTTTTTTTTCTGTTTGCATGCTCTTCTAGAAAACATAATTCTTTGCTGGATTTAAGTTTCCAAGGAACATAGCACCCTCACTGCTGTGGAGTTAGACAAATTCTGTTCTCTGTGCCAAGGAATTGCTACCTTTTCATAATCAAATTTAGGAATTAAGAAAATATATCACCTTAATAATGACAGATAATGATTGTTTTTGGCAGTATTTCAAGACGATTTTTACATTTTAATTTTGAAGTTGTGGCCATTTAAATTTAAATGCCATTTATTTATAATTAGAAACTAGTATTTTCAGAAAAACACTAGAGTATAGAAGTTTCAAAATAACGATTACACGTAACCCATGAGGGTGGGATGGGGACAGGAAAGGGGCCACACCCATGCAACAAGGGCATCTGATCAACGATGGCCATAGAAGCACTATTTGTAACAGCCAGAACCTAAAGGGTTGCTTTTATACGCTCATTTTCTGTGCATCTCCGTGTGTGCCACAGTGTTTAGTGAATGTCATTCATATTTTAAATGTGCTTGATAGCAGTTTGCAAACTTAAAACACAAGCTTGTCTCTATTCTGTTCACTGATGAAACAACAGACACACATACAAGGCTTTCTTCAGTGGTGCGTGTGTGTGAGTGTGTGTGTGTGAGTGTGTGAGTGAGTATGTGTGTGTGAGTATGTGAATGAGTGTGTGTGAATGAGTGTGTGTGTGAATGAGTGTGAGTGTGAGAGAGTGTGAGTGTGAGAGTGAGTGTGTGAGTGTGTGTGAGTGTGTGAGTGAGTGTGTGTGAGAGTGAGTGTGTGAATGAGTATGAGTGTGTGAGAGTATGTGTGTGAGTGTGTGTGAGTGTGTGTGTGAGAGTGTGTGTGAGTTAGTGTGTGTGTGTGAGAGAGTGTGTGTGTGTGTGAGTGTGTGTGTGAGTGTGTAGGGATGCTGGGAATTGAACCCAGTACTTCACACTTGCTGGGGCGGGTGGACTCCCCTCTCCACGTGGGTTTTAGGTTTGTGGTGGTCTGTCTGTCCTCTTTTACTGATGTATTCATTTAGTAACCCACCTAACTCCTCCAGTTCCTTTCAGTTAGCGCAGATTCGCAGTCTCGTCGGGCCTCTTCTGGAGGTTCAGATAGGGCTGCCCCGTGGACTGACGCTGGGCTGATGCTCAGGTTCAAGATGTCTCAGTTCTGAAGCTTTGTTTATTTTGTATGACTGCCCATCCCATCAAAGCGCCCCAGATGAAAGGCAAGGGCCATTGTTCCTTTTCTGCCTGGATCTCATATCATACTCATCTGCAATTCCCTCTAGACACAGTTCTCCATGTGTTAGAAATTCATGTATATCTCCCTGTAAGTATTACTACCATTTCATTTGAAAATATTATCTTCTCCTGCCTGGATTCGAACAGTCTGGCTTCCAGCATGCAGCCTCATTCCCTACGAATGATTTCAAACATCCTTCCTCAAATAATGACACCTGATATCACTGCCTCGCCCCCTATCCTGGCACCAGCCTTTGGCTTTTCCAGACAGGGATTCTCTGTGTAGCCCTGACTACCCTGGAAATCACTCTGTAGACCAGACTTGACATGAACTCAGGGATCCACCCGCCCCTGCCTTCCCAGTGGTGCCCTGCCACTACCAGACTTTGTCTGCCCCTTTCCGTACGGCCCCTTATTTCTCCCCGATCTTAGCATGTGCCCCATATGCCGGACAAAGAAGTAAACGAAGGACCACTACCCCCCTCCCATCGCAGGCAGTGGTACTCCAAGTCTGTTATGTCTCTTTCTCCAGAAACCCTGCCTGGCACCCACACTGACTTTAGAGAGTTCTCACTAGCGTCTATCCATCAAATATATACTTAGTCCATTCTGAGTCCATTCTGAGTGCTGTGGCAAAAGAAAAAAATCATACCTAGCATACAAAAGATGGCCAGGAAATATGAGTTGAAATACTGGATGCTAACTCAATTTAAAACTTTTATTAGTTTTAAAATTGTGTGTGTGAATGGGTGTTTTGTCTGCCTTGTGTCTGTGAACCAGACGCATGCAGTATGTTAGGAGATCAAAAGAAAGCCTTGAATTCCCTGGCACTGGGGTCTACAGCCCGGTGATTGAACCAGAGTCCTCTGGAAGATTGATTAGCCAGTGCTCCTAAGTGCTGAGCTATCACTCCAAACCCCAGCTTATTTCATGTCTGAGAAGTGGAGAATTAGTAAAGCTATCGTTACGGTCCTCAGGGCTTTCTTAGAGAATGGTGAGATGAGCAACCACTACCGCAGAAAGGGTTGTCTCAGTGCAGCCGTCCTCGCTCGGCGCAGCCCTGTGAGCTTGGAGCACTCAGATCACATCCTCTCTGTTCTAAAAGCAAAGTGTAGATTCCGTCTTTTCTAGCTGCCTCCCCATGTTCTTTGCTTTCAAACAAAAGCCTGTGCTGTACTGAATTTCATTAATGACTCACATTAACTAATAAGATGAATCGCTTTATTTATTTACTTACTCAGTCTACCATAATCTAGGAAAAATCCCCACTGCATGGCAGCAAACATCCTGCACAAGTCACCAAGAAGCAGGGGACATACTTTAATTCTTGTAGCTGCTGTACTTAATTCTGTTGCCTATTTTGTCCTTGAAATAATCCAGGTCTTCATTTTAATTTACCCTTTCCTTTAATTTGTCTTTCTCTATGTTTTTTTTTTTTTTTCCTGTTTTCATGAGAGAGTAGGGCTTCTCTGAGGGTCATGGATAGTTACCTCTTCCTCTCCTGCTGCTCTGAGGCAGCTGACAGCCTTAAAACTGGTTTAATAGATGTTTTTAAATCTTACAGAACTACAATAGTGTGGGAAATAGAACATTGAATATTTAATTTTGAATAATGATGGATTATAATGTATATGGTGGTCTACATTACAATAAAACATGTTGCACAATGGCAATTCTTTCAAAAATTTATCTGAACTTGTGCATTAATCATATGATTTACAATGTAGTTTTAGAACTGGAGAGGTGGCTTAGTAGTTAAGATCACTGGCTGATCTCCCAGAGGACCAAGTTTGAATCCAAGAGCTCAGAAACCCATCTGTAACCCCAGTCCCAAGGGACCCAATATCCTTTTCTGACCTCCATGGGCACACATGGTACACAAGCATAAATGTAGGCAGAACACCGATACACATAATTTAAAAATTCTTTTAAGTCTTAGTTTAACTTAGTTTTTGAACTATGATAACTTGTCTGTCTAGATTCTTTCCATATCTCTATCTGTAAGAGATAGCATATTAAATGTCCAAACCACTTTAAATGAAATATACTAAAGGTTAAACATTTGTTCAGCTAATTATAAAAAATAATTAAAAGCAAAGTACAAAATATTCACTTATAATTATTCTTGGGTACACAGATGCTTTGGAATTACCATTATTAATATATTATTATAATTTATTTTGAATGCTAATTGGTACTTAAATCAGTGTAATGGTGCTATTGTTAATCATTTTATGAAGGCTACAGAAACTTCTTAATTTGCTTATTAGAAGTCAATATATTTTGACGACGCATTGAAAGGAACATGAACTTATTTTGTGAAGCATGGCTGTTATCTGGCCTGTGATTTTGAAATTGTATGGACGGATGAGTTTCTGAACCAACCTGACCATGTTTTCAGTCTCACCCAGCATTTTGTATTTGCTTCTTTGTTGCATAATATTTTATTAGTTGTCTAATTTTAGCCAGTTCAGTTAGTTCATGAGATTCCTATGTAATTATATGTCTGGGATTGTTGACTGTTTTGAATAATTGGGCCCAGTAAAATTTTCTTTGTGTTTAAAATTGTATTCAATACATTTTAACATATATTTCTTTATAGAGACATCTGGTCCTAAAATTACTATTTTAATGATTACTCTTATTAAGATATTTACTACTTTTCTAGCAATGGCTGGGAAAAGCATGTGATTAATTGATAATAAAAAGCATTACAAATACAACTGCATACAAATGTTGTTGGGCATAGCAATTAAAGTGAAATTCTCTGTGAGCATTTATAATTCATAAGCAATAATGCAGATTAATTCTTTCAGTGAATATTACCCATAGAAATAATTCCTATAATTGATTGAATTGCATTCATTTATAGGTCAGCATTCATATAAACAAAAAGTTTTAAACAAGTTAAATATCAGTAGTATAAACTCACTGAACCTTTTCAAAAGCACTATTTTCTAAGATGTCAGGACTGTGTTTCTCTTCTGCTTTATATAAGCGATATAATAAGTCCTAGGACAAAAAGCAATATATCACTAATAATTTTCTACTGCTGAGCTGTCCCCGCCCGACAGGAATGGTCTTCGTCTCTGGCTACACATACTCTGTAGGTGGCCTCCGAGGGAGAGAAGAGACAGCCTGTCCTGTCCAGCTTGGGTTAACTGAACTCCCACTGGCAGGGCACTGAGTGGTGGGAGGCCCAGTCCAAGTCACATACATCAGCACAGTCACAGAGAACAGCCCTAGAGTAAACCCAACAGCCATCTCGAAGCAAATCTTGAAAGTGCTGAGACGTCATCCGAGCGCAAGCTGAACAGCAGTGGTAACGTTCTTCACGTTAGAATCAGCATACGGCTGCAACCGTACCACTGTTTACGCAGCACCATTGTAAGGTTCTAGCCAGTGCTGTAAGGTAGGGATATGAACTGATTCATGATCAGAGTCATCTTCTCTACAGATGATTATGATTCTGGCTAAGTACCTAGAAAACCAAAAAATTACCATAGTTAAAATATTTTAGTAAGCTATATAAAAATATTTAAAAATCGGTTGCTGTTCTTGAAATACAGAGAGAAACACCTGGTTTATAACAGCTGGAGCATGGAAACATTTACTATAGAGAGGAGGAGCTTCTTGGAGTTCATATGAGGGAATGGAGCACCCGCAGCACAGAGGACAGTAACCCTGACCCTCAGGAGACTGCTAGGCACCATTATGAGTTTCTGCTGTGCCCACTTTTCCTCAAGGCAATCCTACAAAGAGTTGCTGCTGTCCTTGCTCTGAAGCCCACAAAAGCTTGTGAATTTGCCTTACGTGATTAAGGTGTCCATCGTATTCTTGGCTGGGACGCCATAACATCATAAAACATCACTTCCCCCCCCCAAACAAATATTTGGGGAAATCTCTTTTCTTTTCAACCACATGTAGTTACCTTAAGGTTTTTATGGAGGTTGGGTGTCTAATAATAACCAAATGTATTCCTAAAGAAGTTGGAGTGGTGAGCTAATAAACAGCTCTTGCGCTATACTTTTACTTCAGTTGAGAATGCCGATGCTGAAAATTAACCGTTACCCTGGCAGGAGACAGCAGGGCCTTCTGATACAAGTCACAATAATAAGTTCCAGGACATCTACAGACATTTGAGTGAAAAATTAGCAGTCTTCCAAAAACTATTTGTATGAATGCGGTGTGGAAGCCTTGCCTGGTGCAAGAAAACCCAAGGCCGTAAAGGACATTTAAGGAATTGTCGGTGTTTACCACCAAATTCAAGCAATGTGTTATTTTGTAAAAAGTGCTTAAACACAGCGACAGAAGGTTGGGCCTCTTTGTTATGGGGAGAAAACCCATCTAATGGACAGGTAATGCGTGAAGGGCGAATCCTCACTATGGACATCCAGGGGGCCAGGAGACAGAGGGACCTCTTCAGGTGGTCGGTTGAAACTGCACAAATGAACGCACAATGAAATATCATTTCTCATCTGTGACAGAGCTTACAAAGGCAAAGGTGCAGATAAAATGTTACCTCGTTTTGCCGGGGGAAATTTTGTATCGTTCTTAGAAACTAGTCAGGCAAGGCACATGTGGACTAGGGCATGTACACTTTTCAGTCTGAAGCCCTGCTTTGCCATTTACCCTGCAGACAGAAGCATGGTGTAGGACGGGGTTTATTGCAGCATTATTCAAAGGCGCAAACTGCTTAGAGGCAGCCTGAGTCTGGTTCACTTGGTATCTCTTTGGTAAATATTATATTCGTTATTATAGTTAATCGGTTTAGCAAATATTGATTGAGTACCCACTCGGTACCAATGATGGAAGTAGCATATTATTAAACATCTACTGTTATTTAGCTGTCATTATACAGTAATGAACAAATGGATAATGAATAAAACAGAGTGCCTATTAATGGCTATAATTTTATTATTTTTTGTTCATTAAGGTTTGAAGCTGACCTTATAAACATTAAATTTTTGTTCTTTTCACTTTTAATTGTAGGACATCCTGTATTATGAGCAGCTTAAGACCAATGTGATCCAGCATGACCTTTTGGTGGACAGTCTAATTTATAAAGTAAGTAGAAGTGTCCATGGCTTTTCCATCCCATCAATAGCATTTGCAACGAGGAGTTTTCTCTCTGCAGGGCTTGAGCTGTGGGCAAAAGTAAAATTAAACTTGAAAAATAATTTGAGTGGCCGTGTAGCAGTGCATAACTGTGATGCCTTTACCGTGAGGGCAGAGAAAGGAAGGCCAGGAGTTGAAGCTTTGAAACCAGCCTGGGCTTCATGAGACGCTGTCTCAAAAACAAGCAAGCACGCAAACAAACAAAGGCAAGCAAGGGAGGAAATAGCTAAGGTGAGCGCTGTAGCTTTGCAGTTGAGACTGGCTTCCCAAGCTCTGGAGAGAACTTGACCTGCAGCGTGCAGGGAGAGGCCTGGATCCTTCATCTGACGCAGAGGTTCCATGGGTGATGGCGGAGGTGGTGCCCTCCCAGCAATGGCAATGCTGACTCTGAGTGAGGATCCGCTTTGGTGTTCTACTTGCCACTACAATTCATGGTTTTTATGCCCATGGCCAGTTTTGACTCAGAGGCAGCATCAACAGAGCTTTTCATGACTCATCCCATCAATCCCTTGATTTCTGTTTGCTTCAGCTGCTTAGCTGAATGTTCTAGACTGTTCCAGCTATATACTCATGGATAGTTCATGGATATACTCATGTCATTAGGATCCTTCCCATATTTTTATTATATACTTGTTCTTTCCATTGATATGGTAGATTTATTTTTTATGTATATGGATGTTTTGTCTGTATGTACGTCTGCACATCAGAAGGTCAACATCTCACAGGGCTATAGTTATAGACAGTTGTGAGCCTCCACGTGGGTACCGGGAATTGAACTCAGTACCTCTGAAAGAGCAACCAGTGCTCTTAACATGGAACCATCTCTTTGACTGATATGGTAAACTTTTTGAAGATAAACTGTCTTTGTTTTCTTTGTGTTTTGATTTTTATGTATTTCATCCTGATCAACCAATCAATACCTGTTTGGTTGATTATATGGTGGGCTCAGAAGTGTCAGTGTATCTACTCAGGTACATACCTGGAGGGGATTTCGGTCAACTCTTAAGAGTTTTCTGAGTACTGGCTTAGAATCTGGTGCTATCCTTAGCACTTCCCATACATTTTGAAGTAGGTAGTAATAATAGGTACTTTATCACTGGACTGCCAGCCTTCAAATAATGACACAAAGACTTAGTATTAATTATGAAAGCTTGGCCTTGGCTTAGATGTGTTCCTAACTAGTTATCCTGACTAAATTCACCCATATTTTAAGATCCATGCTCTTCCACGAGGCTTGCTACCTCATTTCCTTGCTTCCCATCCTGCTTCCTCTGCATCTGACTGATGACTCTACCTTTCTTCTTCCCAGAGTTCTCTCTACCTGGAAGTCCCACCCATACCCTCCTGCCTAGCTCTTGGCCATTGAGCTTTTTACTGTACCAATCACAGCAATACATCTTCACATGGTGTACAAATATCCTGCAGCATAGTAATAGTCACAGTCACAGACAAGGATGCTTTCTGTAGTTATGGTAACAGTGTGTGACATACTACCATTGAGGAAGGAAAGGCTTCCTTTACTGTATAGTCATAGCCATAGAGCCCTACCACTTTTTGGTCTGGCAAGTCAACACCTCATGGCAAGAGTCAAGATGGAGCAAAGCTACTTGCCTCATGGCAGCTAGGGTGCAAAGGAAGGGACAGAAAGGTACCGGTGTCCATATGCCCTTTTCAGAGTCACCTCTCTGTAACTGGACTTCCCTTACGGGGATTAAAGTTTCACACTTCTCAAGAGTACACGAAGTTGGGGGCGGGAAGAATCAAGTCTTTAACACACAGGCTTTTAGTGGGTCACTAATCAAAGCGCAGAGACCTAGATTTGGGGTAGCTATCCAAAGTCATGCAGCTAGAAGTAGTGTAAACTATTAGTCAGAGCTGGTGAAATGTCCTTGCTCTCCACCCTAAAGTGCATGATCAGCGTGTTCAAGTCCCCATTAAAAACTGTTCAGAGACAGTCCAGGGGGATGCAGATGCCTTGCCTTCTCTTTGAGATGTTTTTGGTTTGCTATTAGAGGGGTCACCTGTGTAATGATGCATTGCATCTCATCACAGAGAACTGCAATTGGGCAATTAGTTTTTTGTTAATTTCACCACTGAGCCATCAAACAAATGTTGGATGCTTAAGTGCCAGACCCTCTGATGGAGCTAAGTGTATAAAAAGCAAGGCACTGGATCTGAGAGAGCCCCAAGTCTCATTGGGAGGACAGAATTCTCTTAAGTAGTCTCAGATCAGGAAATGCACATAGAGCTATCTGAAGAAAGGACCCACATTCTATCCACAGGATGACATGAACTAGCCCTGAAGAATGAGTTCATGGGGCAGAAAATGACAGTTGTTAGCCTTCCGGGGCAGGAGGTGACTTTCAGGTAACCAATGACGTGGTGAAGATGGGTTTAGTCTGGGGAGAGAGTGTTATGATCGCTGCTGGAATTATGATGCTGTTTGCATTTCTTTTCCAGCTTTAAGTTAATCTAAGAGGAGATTAACTGAAGTCAGTCACAAAGAGTTATTAATGAAACCTTAAGGACTTAGAAATCAAGTAATTCTGGTACATATTTTGCTGAGTAAATATGTAATAGGAATAAAATCTCACCGGGAAATTTCTATAACATCACATAAAATATAAAATTCATTGTAATATTATTTCCCAATGTTGCATTTATTCCTTGTGATTCAAGGTAGATCCATTTAATTAATTTTCAGTTCTCTGTAATCTTTAATTATAGGATGTGAAGCTGACAGCCAGCAACGATGATTATTATTTTGTATTTGAAGATTATTTATATCAGGTAAGTTTTAAATTATCCAGATATTTGCTTTGGGTTCTCTGATAATACTTTAAAGATCTTCTATAGTTAAGTAAATCTTCAAAGTCCACAACGAGTGTCTGGGCTGCCCCTTTTAACTAAAACATGTGTAACCACACATGCTGGCACAGATTCTGGAGCTGGGTATCCACTTATTACTCAAGCAATACCAAGATGTTTAGAGAATACATGTTACATACTTCCTATTGCATATATTAATACATAATTAAATGTCTTAAAACCAATGTGTAGAATCATGATTATTCTGATCATTTTGACAGACACAAGCTCTAAAGCATCCATTAGATCAAAGTAGAGGGTAAGTGTAGAGGTGAGTTCAGGGTGTATACATATATAAAATTGTCAAAGGATAAATAAACGTTTTTTTAAAATAAATATATCCAAGAACTAAAACAAGTAACTCTTAAATAAACAGAGGAGGTATGATGATTCAAATAGATAAAGCCAATAAAGACATGACTCTCTGAATAAAGTGCTTCTTGGCATGCAAGCTTGGGGACCAGAGTTCTTACCCTCAGAACCCACGCAAATGCTTGGTGGGCGTGTGGCCTGCCCGTTATTCCAGTTTTCAGGAGGCACAGATAGGGGATCCCTGAAGCAAACTGGCTAGCTAGACTAGCCTGTATTCTAGCTCTAGGTCCAAGCGAGAGACCCTGCCTCAAGGACTAAGGTAAAGATCAATCAGGGAGACTGCTGATATCAATGTTGGTTCTTCATACACACATGCACATGCACACACATGCAAACACATGTACACATACACATGCGTCTGTACACATATGTGCATGCACACCACACCACATTTAAAAGGTGTTATAAATCCAAACTTACGAACATATCAATTACCATGTATCAACCAAGAGCCAACAATGATGTAGTTTATAGACACGGACTATCGTATTTCAATGTGTGGTCACAGAGAGGATAAACTTGACAAATTTGTCAGATTAGTGGATGAAGAAGGACTGTCAGTTTTAAGTTCTGACTATAAAGTCTCTTGGTGGTGGTGATAGGAGCTCGCTTGGTGACAAATGCATCTCACTTGCTGACAGAGTCAGTGAGCAAGGGTAACAGCTTCTCCAGTTAATACCAGAAATAACCTGTAAGAGCGTGTCCATTTCCCCACACACATACGTGACTTCTGTGTAAGAAACTTGAAAGTAAACAAGTCAGACAGCAGAGCCACTCTCTAACCATGGGTGTGTCTGCTGAGGAAAACCAGACAATCTTGAGGGAACGCTTACAATCACCACACTATAAAGTACAGTTCCTTTAATGGGTCTGCAGGCTAGATGACGAGGCAGGGCATGAGTGGACAGGACATCTGGGAATTGTTGTAGAGTGATTATGAAAGTTTTCACATTAGACAGGAGGGACTCTAAACATGACTTTTAATATCTACTCGATTTTTATCAATATTTTCATTCAAATTCCATTCTTTTTAGATCTTGCATGATTTTTCAGCTGCATCTCATGACTGCTGTTGCTGCTGTATCTTAGAAATAATACCAAATAAGAGTATTAAATTATTATTAACTCTATGTGGTGCATAGCCTACCTCATGAATTTATGATAACCTTTCACATAACTGAAATGTCGTCCTACTGAATATCAGCTCCCTCTGTGCCTTCTCCAAATTCTGGCAATGACCGTTCTCATCTCTGCTGCTGTGAGATCGACTGTTTAGAAGTCTCTTGTCAGTAGGAACCCGCCATGTTTGTCTTCCTGCGACAGGCTTACCTCAGTCAGCAGAATCCTCTAGATTCAGATGTACTGTACTTTCTTTAAGACTGTAAATAGTACTCTCTTGAGTATACACTATGTTCTTTATTCATTTTTCTAAATAAGCTTAAATGTGGACCTTTATCCCCACTGCATAAAGACAGGATAACGTCAGCAGATAGATTTCCCTTTAGAGGAATTACTCAGTTAAGCTTTTACATACTCGGGTATTAATACTTTCCTTGTGATGATACTGCTTCCTACTCTGCGATGTCTTTTTGGGGGATCCATAACCCATACTTCTCAAGCATCACCCTTGCATCTTTTGCTTGCCTTCTTCTGGACTCTGTACAGCACGCACGGTGGTCAGTATGATGTCTTAGGTTCCGATGTCTCTGTTCACTTTAATACTTTTCTATTCTGTTTCACAAACCCATTTATTCCCATTGCTTAATCTCCAGCTCTGGTGAGCATACCCTGCCTGTTCCCATCTGCCTCTCATCCTTCCCTGAATTCTCTTTCCGGTCTCTTTCCTACCTCCAGCGTTACTGTTTCGTGTCATGCTGTTGTTTTTCTGAGTTTGTTGTCTCTCACTTGGGGTTTCATTTTGTTCAAGTGTCATCGTGTTTTCTCGCATATTCCTTATGTGAGCATCCCTGAGTTCATTGTCCTAACACCCGACCTATTAAATTGGCCATCAGGTCTTTTCAGGCTCGATTTCATGTGACTTTTTCATTCGAATGGCCTATACTTTCCCATGTCTTTGTATTTTTTCTTTATGTTTTTGTTGAAACTGGATATTTGAGTATAATAATGTACCTCTGAAGATTACACATCCTTCACCTCTTAGCCCATGTTTTTGGGATATCGTTTGGAATTTTTGTTTTTGTTGCCTTGGATTTTGTAAGTTCTTTTTGAAACCAGCATGAGATATAACATGAAACAGAACTTTTCTGAGCCTCCATTTTTACCTGGGCATACAAGATTACATTGTCATTTATTCCATAGTAGGGGGCATTTGTTGTTATGTCCTGTCTCCTAACAAGAGGAAAGACACTCTGGTTTCTCTTCAGATTGTATACATCTTTCTCCTTTTACATTGTTTCTCCTAACAAGAGGAAAGAATGGCCCAGGTGGGAGCACTCTGCTCTTTAAATCCAGGGCCTTCACCAGCTGGAGAGTAGTGGAGATGTGCAGACCCTTCTCCATCTCCACCCTGTCCGTCTGCACTCTCTCTGGGCAGGCGTAGTCATTATGGTCAGGGAGCGGGTATCCAGCGTGGCATGCAGTTCTATGGCACAGCATGGAAGGAGCTGTAACTCCCACTCTTATGTAGAAATCTGAGTCTTATTTCTCTGTCTGCAAGGAAATGGTGGGCATGCTGGAATTTGCTAGGATTTACACTGCAAATGTGGTTACTTACAAAGTAGGTAAAAATGACATTCGTGTTGTGTGGAGTTATGCTTGGCAGTTACTTGCTGTATTTACAAGAACATATTATGCATGGCTGCTTGTCAGCAGTTGGGAGAGGGCAAATGCTGCTGTATCACAAGCTGGCATTGACCAAGCTAACCACAATTTATCGCTGAAGGTCCCCCTGAACATTCCAAGTTGTCAACAGACCCCATGCTTCCCAAATAGCTACATGAGACATGTCTGTCAGCACGGTGTTATCTGGGTAGGGAGACAGCTTCCCGGGCTCCCTACTTCATTATCCTAGTAGAGAACACATGACAGAGTTCTCTTCATTAGCCTGGAGGAAACGCAGACGTACCCAGTGGGCATGCGTGCAGCACTTACACGAAGATTCTGTCCAGTTTGACCCATCATTTCTTTTGTGGTTTTCATTACACAAATGAAACATTTCTTACGCTACATTTCATTACAGTTATTTCTCAGCGACATTTAGAAATGCCCAAGTAAACCCTTTGTAGACATTCTTGATCTAACTCTGTGGTACCAACCCACAGTTCATATCAGTAACCCATTTCTTATAACTTCTAGTGAACGGAGAACCTGGCTGTGAGTAATCTCACCTAGTGCATTTATGTTTTTCTTGACTTGTAAGTGACCACGGCCTTCTGAGTGTATACCCTAGCAGATTTCCAATGAGCCTGCCATCTCCTTACAGCTAAAGAAGTCAGAGTTCACCCAACCGAGACTGGAGCAGGAGTGGCCGCTGTCTGCGTGCACTCCAGTGCATGCTCTCTGTCGCACCTGCCTCTGGCATTCTCACTTTACAGGCCCAGTGTTCTCCTAGAGCAGGCTCAGATGTCTTGCCTGCCACAGGACACGGGCCACAGGACACGGGCCACAGGACAAGGGCCACAGGACACGGGCCATGGGACACAGGACACAGGACACGGGACACAGGCCTCTATGGGGATATATTTAAGCGCAGAGCTTCTTCTAAAGTTACTGTGCCACGGGGATATTGATAGAACATTTCCTTAGGATTTTCCTCTCTGAGGCAGCAGTAGCTCATTGCAGACTTACATTTGCGTGCTTTTGCCTTTATTTCGATTTGTCGATGGTATTAGTTTATTGTTTGCATTAGATTATTGCTGTAATGATTTAAAGTAAATAAGTCCTTTTGAGGTTCTGCAACACAGAAATGTGTTTGGCTTGGTTACATTCACGCTATCCGCAGGGTTGCGTTTCCTTCTGGGGACTCTGAACCCATGTCTTTGTCCTTCCCAGCTTCTAGAATGCACTTTCATTCCTTGGCTCACAGCTGGTCCCACCATTCCCAGAGCCAGCGGACAGCCAGCGCTGTAAACCCGTCTCACTTACAAAGACCTTTGTGATTATGTTGGGCCCACTCACACAATCCTGACATCTATAAGACCAATTTTTAAAAGTAAAATTTGAGATTATAATTACATCACTTCTGCCTTCTTCCCCCCTCCCCCCGCCCCCCGCTCTTCCCACAACTTGCGGCTGCTTCTTTTTTTTTTTTTTTTTTTTTTTTAAATTCATGGGGCCTTTTTTTCCTCTACAATGATTTAACTTTCAAATATACTTATATATTCAGAAATGCATAAATACAACTCATCAGCCCATACAATGTTATCTGTATCAAATTGTTCTCAGAGCTGACCATTTGGGACTGATAACCAGCCAGTGTGCTTCTCCACGAGGAGACCGTTTCCCCTCTCTCGGTATTCCTTAGTCATCTGTATGTCTTTGCCTAGGGTCGAGGCCTCATGAGTTTCCCGTCTCTGACATTGGCTTGTCTCTCCATCCCTTCCTTGTTCACGGTTAGCCAGGCATGCTGCTAAGGTTTTGTGAGTGGAGCTTTGGATATGTCTAAGAGACACAGACTCACAGCAAACTTTCAGCTCTTCTGTGTTAATCGTTCTGCCGCCTTTTCAAAACGACCCCTGAGCCTTAGGTACAGGAGCTATCCAAGAGACTCCCAGAGTATCTCAGGCTATTGCTATTGCCCTTAGTTACCCATCCCCTAGAAATGGAAGGTAGGTCCCTCTTGCTAAGACACTGTCCACTGAAGACATACGGCCCCAGAGCTGGAACTGGCCTGAGTACCTCCTCCCTGAGCATTATCCCCAAGTAGTTGGTGTGGTATCCAATACTAGGCTTGATTTCCCTCTTGGTGAGCCAGTCTTAAGTTCAGTTAGACTTACTAGGGTATGCAGGCAAGTATTATGCCCTTTGGCCTATTGTGAAACCATTGCAACTGATCAGGTATGGCCCCCAGTCCCAACTGATACATCTAGAACATAATTCCTATAGATCAGGTTCGGGGTCATTGTGGAAGAGGGTCAGAAAGAATTAAAAGAGAGGGACAGGAAGTTTGGGGGAGATTGTCTCCTAGACATCTGTCAGAGAGGCTACATCCTTGAAGTCTCGCCAATATGGCTGGTTAAATGTGACCTGAACAAGGACAGCATCAATTGACATGCTAACATGGAAGGGGATAGCGCAGAAGGCCTCAACCCCAGACAAAGTAGCACAGGCAACTAACTAAGCAATGCCAATGTCAGAGAGCTTCTCTAGAAATAGAAATGCACACCGATTGGTTATCCAGTACCGAGTGGTCGGCCCGGGGAACAAACATTATATGGACTGAGTCGGTTGTATTTATGGTTTAGGAACACACACACACACACACACACACACACACACACACACACACACACACACACACACCACCTCCTACAACAACAACAGTTACAGAGAAAGAGGCAATGGATTCAGATGGTAAGATGGGGGTTACATGGGAGGGGTTGGAGGGAGGAAAGGTGAGGACTCACCCCCTCTGGCAAGGACGTCCCTAACCCTGCTGGGACACCCTTGCTAGAGGGGTGAGAAGACGCCGCACCAAGGACGCAGGCACCGGCGTGTGAGCAGCCAGCGTGCTGCGTGGCTGCAGACTCGGTATGAAAGGGGTCAGACCCGCTTTTGTACCCCCTCCCAAGGGGGCCCCGGGGCTGATTCTGCTGCGTGCCCTTTCCTCTTTGGTGTCTCAGTCAGGCATCTGTCTCTCAGCAGTCTCTGGGCGGAGAGGCGGCTGTCTCAGGGAGGAAGCGCCTGCGGCCCGTGCTCAAGCAGGCTGGCTTGGTCACCGGCAGCTTGGGTAGGCTGGCCGGCAGTTTCTCCTACAGAAAGGAAAGGTGTGAATGCTGTAATAGTATGGTAATCTGGCAAAATTAAAATTGTAACTAAAGTCAGAGCAACACAAAGAGATCGGTGTTATATACCAGGTCAATAACGTTTCGTAACTTCATAATTCTTTAGAGATTGGTGTGTTGCGAGTAGGTTTTCCTGCCACCTGGACCCACCGTGGTGCCAGCCCCAAATAGCACACTGAGACTCTGTAATAGATACAAAGCTGTTGGCCAGGTACTAGTTTCTTATCGGCTAGCTCTGTCTTAAGTATTAGCCCATTTCTATTAATCTAAGTGTTTCCACGTGGTCTCATCTTACTGGAGAGTAGAGCTGGCATTTGCTCTCTCCAGTCTCTCCATGCTGACTCCTCCTTACTAGTTCCTCGAATCCTCCTGGTCTCCTAGTCCCGCCTATCTTGCTTTCCTATTGGCCAACAGTGCTTTATTCATTAACCAGTATGAAAAACATATATACAGAATGACATCTCCCATCATCAGTGATCCTGCCTAATTATTGGAAAATATCCACCATAATAGGTCAAAATTAAAAATTTTTCTCAGTAGATGTCAACAATTTTTCTGAGCTGGCTTTAATAAAACCTTTTAAAATCGCAGTTAGTGATGTCAGGTGTTAAGTTGTTAGTGTTTTCGACCTAACATCCATTCTATACCATTTGGATAGAAAAGAAATGTACTTCTCAGCATAATGATGTCTGTGCAATACAGCACTCTTGTCTTAATATGATTTAGCATCACTTACTGTTGGGTGCTAGGCCTGTTCCCACTCGCCCAAAGGCAACTTTGTACCACTTGGCATCCATGTTCCACCTCCATGCCCCAGAGCCTCCTCTCCTCTCTCAACTTCATCCCAGCAGTTGCCTCTCCCTCCCGGGGTTCTCCTCCCCAGCTAGTTCCTCAACCCTTTCCAAGTGTTTGCCCAAAGGGCCCCTTCTCAAGGACCACTCTCTGTAGAATGGCAGGCCCTTCTCTGGACCTCCTTTATCCCATTCCTGCAGAACTTGCCACTTAATGCACTACTTGGTTTAATTTATTCACCACACTTGGTGTTTATTCCCTCACTGTAGTCGGTGTAGTTCTTTGTTTGATGCCTTTCTTTTGCTGCACCCCTGCTTAACCCTGAGATCTGTGCTTGCTGTATAGTGAGAGCTAAAGAAGACAGCAGCTGGGTTTTAGAAATCTGTGAAGCTCCACCAAAGTGGAGTTCGAAGTGATAAAAATAATTGAAAAGGACAGAAGTGTAGGCCAGAAGTTCTACATAAATAAGTAGAGAAAAGTGGGGATCATTCAAAAGTATAATTCTTGAATGTTTTCCAGGGATGGAGAAATGTAATAGTTGAACCATATCAATAAGCAAATCCCGAATTAAATTATTAAGAACAGAGACTAGTTAAATATAGAAGACCAGTAGCAATTTAGTAATAAGTGTAGATAATATTTTAACAACATGACATACCCAGGTACTATTCTAAACACTTCCTGTATAACAATAAATTCCAATATACTTGATATTAGCATTGTTATTATATTAATTTTACATGCGAGGACACAAATACTTAGAAGTCCAGTCACTTGCCCTTGTCATCCAGCTAATAAACTGTGCAACCACAGTTAAAAGTCCAGCAAAAATAAGTCTAGATGGGTTGACTGCCTCATTCTGTGTCCATTTGCCTTTATGCAGCCATCTTTGTGATATCCTTAGAGCTCCCGGTCTCCTAAATGTCCTTTCATTTCCCCGAGGGCTGGGCTTTCGCCCGCACATTTTGGACTAGTGTCAAAATTCCAATTTTTCTCTCGGGAAGCCTTGGTCCTGACTGACCCTCTCTGTTTCTTGATGGAGTTGGTGTGTGCCCCTGCTGGCCCGGACAGCCGGCTTCTACCTGTACTGCGGAAATCCTTGCTTTGCCGCTGCATCCACTCTTGGGATGAAGCCCCCACCCCGTCCCAATTCTTTTGTCTTGTTTTGTTTGTTTTTGTTAATTCGAGACAGGGTTTCTCTGTCTAGCTGGACTCGAATGCACAGATATCCGCCTGTCTGTGCCTCCTGTGCCTCCTGAGCGCCGCCACTGCCCGGCTGCCCACAACCCCATTCTCGACCAGCCCACCTGTCTGTCGCTCGCCAGTTAAGCCTGTTTCCGGGTCCTTACACCCCTCAGTGCTTGTGTGTGATCACCCCCCGGTGCCCCTATGTGGTTCTCAGGGTTAATTTCCTGATAAAACACAGCAAAACCAGCACAGTTAGCAGCCTGCATCTTCTGGTTGTTGCCGCTGTGAACGTTTAACCCAGGCTTACCGACAGAGGGCGCTCTTCTCATTGCAAAGCGCAGCAGTGTCCTCCTTGTGAAGCCCTAATTAATTTAATTGCTGTCAGTTGTCGTATAGCAGCGCTCACTGTCTGTTTCCCAATGTTTTGTCCAGGTATTGCTTTGTTTTTCTCGGGATACGTCTGTGCTGGGCCACTTTGCCTACAACAGCGCTTCACCACCGAAATCATACATCAGAGGTAATGTTTCGATAATGCCAAGGGTTTACATAATCGCTCCAGGAATGTTTAGTGTATCTCACATTGGTATTTCCAGTTCATTTCCGACCTCTCAGCAACAGTAATCACTGTCTTTCCCTTTCAATGCCAGTGCCCACGTTCGCACCGCAGACCCCTCCAATGGGGACAGGGCTTTGTGGGCGACTCTGGAGTCCTTGCCATCCCCTGCCTCGTCTGTCCGGTTGGCCCCAAGTGTGTCTGTCTGTCTTCTCTTCCCACCCATAACCTCACCACAGAGCTTCCTCCTTTCAGCTGTGCTTGACGTTCCTCTTGGGAATTAATGCTGCATTCCTCCAGTTCTGCTACCTCAAAATTATGGTATAAAATACGTGTTGTTGCCCTCCAGTTTCTACTGAGTGTTCTCGCTGTATCCCTGTGGCTGTGTCCTTCCTCCTTTCCACTGGGGGTGGACACCCGCGCTAAAATCTCACTGCCCTGTTGTGTGTCTGGTGTGGCCCTTCCGCTGCTTCCAAGAACACAGAAACCATTTCTCCAGGATTTTATCCCTGCCTGGTTGTTCCAACACTTGCCCTAGAACAGACTCCGTCATCTCGTGTTGGGCTCAGGCTACCCCCCCCCCCCCGATTTGGGGCTGAAACAAATGCGTAAAAGTTCCCTTTTGTTTCCGGCTAAGGAGATGGTGGGTGGGGAATGCTGTGGTGCAGACATGAGGGGCCCACTGTGGTTCCCCAGCAAAGCCAGGCGGCAGAGACAAGCTGCTCACAGATGCCCATGGCCGCCATCCTCGCTGAATCGTCAGGGTTAGGGTGGAGGGGGGTGGGAAGACAGTTGGCTTTGACCTCTGGCCTCCACACGCAAACACACACATAAACACACATACATGACACATGCCCTTACATCCCATCCTGCACATAGAGTGATGGTAAAATGTAATTACCCAGTGGGCTAAAATGAGCTGAAATGATGCCCACACCCACCATCTTACCCTCTTTTCCTTCCCTTCTCCCGTTATCTCATAATTGCTATATTCCACTCTAGCCCCCCCCCCCCCCGCCCAGAGCCATAGTGCGCGAAAAGCTTCACATTCCCTTCACACAAATTATAGGTCCTTGATGAACTGGCCTGTACCTCATGTCTACCAACCTATCATCAGTTCCCTCCCTCTGAGCTTGAAACCCTTTAAACCCATTTATCCGAAGTCAGCACAGCTGCCTTGTTATTTGTGGCTTGGCCTGAATCATACGCCTTGTGGGGGGGGACCGTATCCTGTATTTGCTTGTCCTGATATCTTCTGCTGTGATCAATCGTGTGTCTGTGTTTCATTATTCCATTCTTTCCTCTGACAAAGATCACTTAGTTCTGTGTGTCTTCGCCTTAACTTAAGATGGCCACATGTTTTACTCTTATATTCTCCCTGTGTTAAGCCCAATTTAAAAAAAATAATAAATTTTAATTTATACCCAATGCAATAATGCATGTCTTTTTAATAAACTCGGAGTTGTTAAGAAAACTGTTAAGATGAGAGCCACCTGTCTTAGTTGGGGTTACTCTTGCTGGGGAGGGCAGGGTTTATTTGGCTCATGGTACCTATCACAGTTCATCATCAAAGGAAGTGAATACAGGATCCCAGACAGGGCAGCAACCTGGAGGCAGGAGCTGATGGAGGGCTGTGGAGGGGTGCTGCTTACTGGCTTGCTTTTCATGACTTGCTCAGTCTGCTTTTGTATAGAACCCAGAACCATTGGGCCTAGGGATGCCCCGCCCACAATGGGTGGGGCCTTCCCTTATCAGTCACACTAATTTAAAAAAAAAAAAAAATGCCCTACAGGCTTGTCTGCTTATAGCCTGGTCTCGTGGAGGCATTTTCTCGTTTGAGGTTGGATCCCTTCAGATATCTTTAGCTTGTGTGGAGCGGGCATAAAAGTAGCCGGCACACCACCTGACGTTATCCAGTGGGAAACGGGGAAGTGCGCAGCTGTTGAACGTTACAGAGAATGTGCCGTGTCAGAACCACTCTGTTTTCAGGGCTTAGCCTTTGCCTCTGATCACACAAACTCTGTCGGGAGTCAGGATGTGTGACTGTTACACAGTTGAAGATACTTGATTTTTAACTCTTCAGCACATTTTCTAAAACCATAAGCTAATGGGATATGGCAAGACCTCAGACTTGCTTTAATGAATATGGTTTTTAAGTTTAGAAAAAACGATTGTATGCTTTTAAATTATTCGCAACTGCTTAAGGAAATTTGAAAGCATTGCTTAAACGTTACTACTGATTTTAATTCCTAAAAGGATTCACTGGTATCAGATGTTTGGCTGACAGATTTTCAACTAATTCCATAGCATAAAATGAAATAAAGGTAGAGTAAGTTATTTTTAAAGTTCCACTCATTATACATTCATTAGCATTCACAGAATGTTGGTTTTTAAAACTTTAGATGGGCATGGTGGTGTACTCCTTTAATCGCAACAGTCAGGAGGCAGAGGCAGAGGCAGGTTGATCTCTGTGGGTTCAAGGCCAGCCTGGTGTACAAAGCAAGTTCCAGGACAGCCAAGGCTACACAGAGAAACTGCGTCTCAAAAACTCAAACAACAACAACAGTTTTACTGTGTGTATGACTTTCTCTTACAGGGAAGCTAGGATTAGAAGAATACGCTGTCTTTTATCCACCAAATGGTGAGTGAGGCTGCTGCTCCCTCCAGGGGGAGATGGGGGAATGACAGCTCTGTCTGGGGATGTAACGTTCATTCTCATTCTGCCCTTAATCGTCATCTAAAACATTCCTTCTTTCTGTAAAGGGTGTGTTTTGCTGACTTCCTCCATGTTTGTGTAGTTTAGTGCCACACCGTGCGTGTCCTCTCCAGCTCTACTGGGGACCAAAGGGGATTTGTGAGAAGCTGAGTCAGCGCAAATGCCAAGTCTAAAGCATGCCTGTAGTTTTCCTTGGGGAACAATAGCTAGCTCAGCTAGGACTTTCACTCTGTCTTACCACAGTGCTGGAGCAGGGGAACAGAGTGCCCTGTGCTATCCCTGCCTGCCTTCACAGCAGCCAGCATGGTATTAATGGAACACAGAGACTGTGAAGAAAGTCATTGAACTTGCTGGGCCGTAGTTGCAAATGACCCCGTTCACTAATCAGGTCTTTTATTTGTGTGTAGAAATGCAGCGTCTAGCTCTCCATGTCCTGATGGGATTAAGCTACACCCTGAATAATTTTTGCTTTAGAGGAATTAAGAGCTTGGGCTTTGTAATCCTGCGGCTTTGGGTTCAGATCTGAGCTCTGCCAATTCATCCTCTGACTTTGGTTAAGTTATGTGACTTCCCCGACCTGGAGTCTCATCCACTTAGTGATTGTATGGATAATGATCGCATAAGGCATGTCATGAAAACAGAAGCACAGGACCTCACATGTAACGGAGTGCAGAAAACACAGCCATGGCAGTTGTGTTTAGCTGCATCAAGCACTATCTGAGAATAACAAGCAATCAACCTGTACCTGTCTCGTTAACTGACATTTTCATCTGCCCAGTTACTTGGGTCCTGAACCCTAGGCATCTTGCCCCGCCCGGCCCCGCCTCCATGTGTCTCCAGGGCTTTCTCTGTCATCTGGGGCCATCCCTCCCTAAGTCCTACCAGTGCCTTGCCCTCCATCTGGCTTTGCTGTCTGCAGTGGAACTGTAATGACCGTCTATGTCAGTATCTCTCTTTTACCTTTTCTAGTTTGGGTTTTGCCTCTGCCATCTCAGAAGATTGCCATTTTTTCTTCAAGTTTCCCAATGATTCTGAAAAGTTTAACTCCCAGGCTTCTCAGTACGACAAGCAGAGTGGGGTCCCTGGGGTCTGACCCCAGAACATTTGACTCCCTAGCTTCATACATCACCATGTCCCATCTCTGTTCTTAAAAAATTAGTACCGATATCCAGCTGTTTATTGTCACCCACAGCTGCATACTCTGATGCAAGCCCGGTGCTGCCTCCTCCTTCATGGCCAACATTGTTTCCAGCTCAGGCTAGACCGTTCAGTTCTTCTCCCCTGGCCATCATGGAGGCTCTGTTCAGGCGCCATCCTGTTTGCAGGCGTCACCGAACCTCTCCTAGGCTGAGGGCCCTTCCCTTGTTGCTCATGTTCCTGGGCAGAGAACTTTGGTGTCGATAACTTCATCTCCCTGTCAGTGTTGCAGATGTCAGAAGGTCCATGGCTGAGCTCGGTTTCGTCATTTCTCCCAGGGTCTAGCAGGTGGTGATATTGCAAGAAGTTTACTTGAGCTAAATTAGATGTGTTTTATTTTAATATGTGTGTAGACATGAATTGTTTTTATCCTTCATCCCAGGGGGTTGATTTTCCAATAACTTTTTATATTTAAGAAATAGAAAATTAAAAAAAAAATGTCTCTAGGTGCTAAAAAGAAGGGTTTGTAGACTCAAGGAAACAGAAGGCATTGTTTAGAAGATCTTAGCTTCTACTTAAACATGCGCCTGACACACGTCACAATTGAAATATGGAGACCTCACGCTATAGGACATTAATCAGGAGCCCTCCAGCAAATCACCCCAGAACTGATTTATGTAAAAGCCACTTACCTCTCTGATAGTTACAGTGGTTGTAGGTCGTAACACATTGTAATTCTTTGTGTGTGTGCGGTACTGGGTATTACTTGTGTCTCACGTATGCTAGTCACGTGGTCTACCACTGTGTCATATCTCCAGCCCTAAGATAAGATCTTTCAAGACATATTACATACATTCACAGTAATAATTCAAGGAGTAGTTGTGGATATCTCAACTAATATCTTCTGAGCCATACTAAGCAAGCCAGAATTATGTTAAGTATATTGCATTATTAATTCATGAAATCCTTATATAACTCAATGATACAGGTACTACTGTTATTCACTTTATGGATAAAGAAACAGGCGGGAAGGGTTAACTGCCTGGCTAGTGAGTAACACAACCAGGCTTTGGATCCATGATATCTGGCTTCAGAAACAGTGTTGCTATCACTTGCCCCCAAGCCTTAGAGCATGTAAGTAAAGTTATTATAGTATCTCTGGAAAGAAAAGAAAGTTGCTACAATATTGACAAGGGGGGGGGGTGGTTTTAGGACTCCCAGAGTCAAGGACACTTTGCTGGAGGCAGAGTTACAGACTTCTTTCTCTGAAGCGTAGCCCTGTGTCGTGTTTCATATTACCTGTCTCATTCTCCAGCCTCTGCCAGAACAACATTACTTTGAAAACTGAGTGCTGTCTACAGCACCAGCACAGTCAGAACTGGCCCGACTTTCACCTGCAGCTCTCTGGCGCCCTCTGTCCCTGGCTGGCAGGTGCGCCCATGGACAGAGGCTTCACACCACCCCCCCACCCCCCCACCCCCCGCCATTTTCTCTCCACATCCCTGTGACACCTTTCCTAGGATGGAGTGAAAGCCATGGTGTCATGAGACATTACCTCACTGAGGGCTCATCAGTGGACAGATCCTCCCTTAGAATTAAGTTCTTTATAAACAAAGTTTCTGAGCTGAGACCTCTCACGGGGGTCTTACGAGTTTTTCGTATTTTTTCTTATTATTCAGCATGTGTGGATTGCCTCTGTTCATTTGCTGAGTATCCATTTCCTGCTCTGGCTAATGCTGCGTACCCCACAGTAGTAAAGTGTACAAATAAAGGGCCTGCTGCCAAGGACCTTTCATGACAGTAGAATAGATGCACAAGAAAGAGAGAGGGATGAACTGAGCGATAACAGTATCAGAGAGCGTGGGCGCTTGGGGAAGGCCTGACTGCTGCAGATAAGGTGACGAAGGTACCTCTAGGAAGCAGAAAAGAATAGAGTCCGGGTGAGCAGAGTGAGCTATGCAGAGCAGTGGAAAGGAACATTCCAGGGAGACCATAGCATGTTTAAGGCCAAGAGGAGGGCCTGAAGAAGGCCACCACGATGGGTAAGGTGGCGTCTGATGAGCTGACACAGGGTGAAGTGGGGATGGCAAGGACAACCAGACCAGGGTGGGACATGATTGATGCAAATCCATCTGGGGCTACTCAAGCATAGTTTGCATTAATTTCCTTTTCTTTTTCCCCTTGTGCATGAGCTGTGATTCATTTCTTTGCATACCTAGATTTTTTCTTTTTCCATTGCTGAAAATTGACTGTCTTCGCTATTATAATGTGACAATTCTGGGAATCAGACTGCCCCTCCCCCCCCCCGGAATTCACTGTTGTTGCTTGTGCTTTAGAATTGTTTAGTGAGTTATGTAAACTTTCTAAATTTAGTATATTTATTATTTTGTGCCTACCAAAAATCTCCGTTCTTTTAGCTCAATAGTGAGCTAGTGATTTGATAAGAATTTTCTTAACTGTTTAAGGACAGGTTTTAAGCCTTGAAGTCGGTCACCCGTGAAGGGTATCTAGACAGCTTACACCTTCATGTCAGTTTTCACTGTTTTATTGAGGCTAAAGTCAGAATCAAAGCCTGAGGTCTCCATCCTTCCTAGATCCCTCTGTACTCTGTGCATAGGAGATTTCAAAGTCCTTACTCCCTCATAGAGTTCCCTTCCCAGCCTCTTCCATCCCATGCTTTTCAAGCTGTCTATTATTTGCCCCATCAGTTACTCCTTCTTCCTTGGGGCCACAGTTAGTGTATTTGCCTTTAAACGCTCTTGACATATGCTGCCTGCAGGACACTTCGGTCCTGAGAAATCAATCACTGAGACTAGAAATCACTGAGACTAGCAGGTGTAGCAAAGCATATCTGAGCCTGTCCCTCGGGTAGCTGCTAGACAGGTCAGAGCACAAAGGAACACTTTTCCCCCATAAAGATCTGGATTGTTCCCTCTCACACCAGCAAGTTAGACCAGGATTGTGGGCTGCTGTTTTCACGGCTGTTGCCAAGCTGGAGAGTAGGGCATGGCAGTGGGTGGATAAATTAAAATGCCACAGTTATGTCTTCCCAAAATTCTCACTTCATTAAGCATCCCCCTTGTTGTAAGGGTATTTCTTCATTAGGTTGCAGGGGGTTTAAAAAGCTGATTCTAGCATTTTTTCAGTTGTGCGTTGCTTTGCTGGAGGGACAGCATTTGGGAGTTGCCTCCTCCAGTCTTTCTGATCAATACTTTCAAAATTCATCCTGGTGGCTGTGTAGAATGCAAGTGTCCTTAAAGTGTGAACTCAAAGGGAACAACAGACTGTAATAGTTTCGATGACCAATATGTCCAGGATTTGTAATCATCTATAGCGGAGAGTCTGTGGTCAGTAAACGTGAGTTTGCAGAGTGAATGAGCAAATGAACGAGGGGAGTAGATCAGGGGAGTCCAGAGGGACAAGAGAGGAGGAGGCTTTCCCGCTAACAGGAAAATGCACATCCATCCGCTGGGACTCCACTGTGAGTGGTCCCTACGGGCGTAACGTGCGATCGCTAACCTCTGAATGACACTGAGGAGGGAAGTTTGGGGCTCTGGAGCATAAATTTAGATACAAATGAAAAACTCATTAAATTCTTATTTTAAATATGACCTTTGGGTTCACACTTAGATGTTGTTATAGTGTAATGGTTTGGAAATTTTTAATTATTTAAACAAAGAGTCAAAGTCATAGTTTCAAGTTTTAATCAATAAAGATAATGAAAATAGCTTAAAAGCCAATTTATTCATTGTCTTAATCTCTGTCTTTACTGACAAGTTGGTTATATG